TTCTGTAAATACTTCTGATCTACTCATCATGTACATTTGGTTCCATTTTACATATATTTCTGATAATTTTTTATTTTTAACAAAATCTTCAACGTTATTTTTATTTTCTTTATATAAGTTGTCTACTACAAATATCATTACTTTTATTAAAATTCGATATTCTATTGCAGTTATTCTAGAGATTGATTGAAGTCCATTAGTGAATATTTTTAACATCGGAATCGTGAAATTTCTGAAAGTCTATGATCTATTTCATTAACTAATAAACTATCTTGTTTATAAAGAAGTGCTTGAGTAAATTCTATTTGATAGTAAAATAGTTCTAAGTTCAAATAGTATATTCTGTTTGGAACTATTACTGTATATACATTTATACTTGATAAAGATCAAAAATAATTAGGAATATTTTCCAAACTCATATCTTGTTCAGTATTATTATAAAAGAATTCTTATATATTTTCATTATTATAAGAGTTACACAATTATCAGGCAAATTGGTATTTGTTAACAATGTCTTTGAAGTTAAACAAAAATGACAAGGAAAGTTTGAATTAGTTAATTTGTATACTAGACTAAATGTAGCAGCTTCTGGTCAATCACATATAATTGTTGATATATGAGGAAAGAACCAAATTGTTTGAGTACATATGAAATAATTTCAATCACCTGAACATCATGTATCTGAAATTAAATTACTGATGTGATTTAACAATATTATTAAAAATTATTAACTTTAATTCAATTCAATTCATATCTCTGAATTGAGTTACACAGATTAACCTAGGTTGGCAGAGTACTAGATAAGTATATACAAAAATTAGAAGAAAAAAATTTAAAGTATAAAAAAAATAATTAAATTAATAATAAAGCAAAAAGATAATGAAATTAATTTTACTGTATATTTATTTAAAAGAAATATTTAAATTTCAAAGAGTCTGTAACATTAGATTAGCTTTAGAGTATATTCATGATTTGATAATTTTATATATTTAAACTTTTTTTATATTTTATTTATTATAGTTTTTTCTAAAATAGATTTCTCACAAGAAAATTAAGGATTTTTTAATATATATTACAAATATTATAATTATTATAATAAATAAATTTGGTTGTAACAACTGTTACTTTAACATCTCATTAGTTGTTACAGTAGTGTATGTAACAGGTTGTTACAATGCAAAAAGCAAAATTGGAATCATTTTTAATCTATATATTTTTGAAAAATTTGATCCGCATTACGAAAATTTCGGCCAAACCTATAATTTAAGTTGCGCTAGCACAAAATTATATTTAGTCATGTGATATTATCCAATCAAAGAAAAATACGTTTGATAAATCTATTTATTTATCAATGCGTTTCATATTATTTATTTTTATATTTTAAAATAGAAGCTGGACTTTCGAAAAGAATTTTATTTATAAGCCACTATTGATTATATCCGCATAGAAAGAACCCTCCGAGTTCTTAAATATCATTTTTTAAACATTATTTTTATTAGATATCATTTTTAATATCATTTTTAGATATCATTTTTAATATCATTTTTAATATCATTTTTAGATATCATTTTTAGATATCATTTTTAGATATCATTTTTAAATATCATAAAATGACATTTATAAAAGTTGTTTTTACTGTACTTGGAATATATGGTTGTTTTCTTACTTGGGGAGTTTTACAAGAACGAGTTTCTACTACTCCATATTATGATGAAGAAGGAACTAAACCACAACGGTTTCGATATTTCATTTTCCTTAATACTATTCAATCTTCAATGGCATCAATATCAGCATTTTTTTATATTCGAATTGTTGGTAAACAACTTATACCAGTTATTCATAATAGTAATTTATCATTATCAACATTATTACTTCGATTTTTACAAGTATCTTTTTTGGGAGTTATCGGATCACCATTTGGATATGCGAGTTTAAAACATATTGATTACCTTACATTAGTATTGGGAAAATCATGCAAATTAATACCAGTAATGTTAATGAATATAATTCTTTATCGTAAGAAATTTCCTTTATATAAATATGTGGTAGTGGTATTAATTACTATGGGAGTATCAGGTTTTATGCTTTTACATCCTGTATCTGAAAACAAAAAAAAAACACCAGTTTCTACAAGTTCTCTTTATGGACTTGCTTTATTAACGATTAGTCTTTTAATTGATGGTATCACTAATTCAACTCAAGATGATATTTTTCATAAATATAAAATATCCGGACAACAAATGATGTTTTTTATGAATTTATTTAGTACAATTTTAATGTTTATTTGGTTACTTTTTCCTTGGAACCCTGAATTGGGTAATGCTTTAACATTTTGTCATCTCTTTCCTAATGTCATTAAAGATATTTTATTATTTTCATTATGTGGAGCAATTGGTCAATGTTTTATATTTTATGCATTAGAAAACTTTGGTTCATTTTTTTTAGTTACTACAACTGTTACTCGAAAATTATTTACTATATTACTTTCGGTATTTTGCTTTAATCATGAATTAAATTGGGGTCAATGGGTAGCTGTAGGATTAGTATTTTTGGGAATTGGTTTAGAGGCATTTTATAAGCCGAAATCGATACCCAAAGATGAAATACTGGAATTTAAAGAAGACTATGAAAGTATCAAGAAAAAAAAATAGTAAATACTTATGTGCCGTGGTAAATGGTAATAGTTAGCACAAGTGAATTCTAATTTTTCGAAGGACTTTTGGGAAAAAATTTTGGAAACTCAACAGATTTTGTTTTATTAATTAATATTTATTTTTCTATTTTACAAAATTAATTGTTAATTATTAATTAAATTATAAGTTTTATTGCTATACATTGACATTAAATAGAGATTTGACCGACTTTATAAAAATTTATTAATCTAATCATTCTTTTTTTACTGCTTCCGTTTTTCTCTCTTTCTCTTTGTACAAATATCGAAAGATAACTGATATCACCAAGAAAAAAGCATCAAATGTAGTATTGTTTGATTGTTGTTGTTATAAATGCAATTTTTATTTTAAATTTATAGAAAATGATAAAAAAAAAACAACTAATTGAAGTTTGAACTCTTGAACACTTCCAGGAATCCTAGGTCAAAATGTTACCTATCTTATCACCTATCTGGTAGGTGTAAATAAAAAATATCAAAAAAATTAACGTGATAAAATTATCGTTCTTTAATAATATAATTAATTTTTATCGTTTTATCATAAAGTATTTCGCCTTTAATTTAATATTACTTTGCATCACTAGTTACTAACTATAGTATTTTAAAACATTATATTTATTTTTTTAATGATAAACATGAGAAATTTGTAATTCTTAAATAAAGTGATAACTGATATATATGTGTATTTTTTTAATTGAATTTGCTTATCTAATTCTAAAATAAACAATTATTGTGTCGCGAAATTTATTTTCGAATTATTGTTTCGTGTATCTAATATATCAAATATATCTTTTGTTTACATGTAAATATTTTATTTTATTTATATTAATATATTTATTATTTCTGTTGAATGATTATCACGGAGAAGCAAATACTTTTTTAGAATTATTCAAATTTCAAATTGTAACAATGAATATCCAACAGTTTTGTTACAATTCTTTGGGTAGATATTTTCTATATTTAATCTACATTGTATCTTTATTATTTACAAATAATAATTATTATTATTTTCTCTTATTATCTTATTATAGTTTGGTTCAATTTTTATAGAAACAAAGAAACAATGCAGGATTTGGTATTCTATCTATTCTCCAAATGAATCTCATAACAATAATCATATAATAAAATTGCCGAAGTTGGGTTACACCACCCTAACATGTTTTAAATAAAAATGTGCAACATTTTTTATTCACCTGACAAATAAATTGATAAATTTGCTTTTGTCTTTTTTCGAATCGAGAACCATCAGTCATCGAACACTTTACAAAAAAAAAAATAAAATAATAGTAATATATCTAAGTAACATCTTTTGCTTCATTTACTATATCGATATTGATAGATAGATAGATAGATATTTTAAGCCACCCTACAACTAAATATAGTAGAAAATATTACAAAGAAATGGCTAGTATCAAAGAAATAAAATCATGTGAAATTTCTCTTTCTTCCCCAAGTCTTAATATTCCAACGACACCTAATGCAACTTTATCCATCAAAGGTGATATTCGTCTTTTACTTACTGCCCCATTAAAAGTTACTCAAGCGGTTGTAAAGCTTCATGGATATTCTCAAATTGATAATTCTCAAAAAATTACTACACGTAATTTGACTACCAAAGATTTAGTTAAACAAAAAATTACCGTGATTAATATTGCAAAAACTTTAAATGCTGGTGAAAATTCATTTCCATTTTCAATTACCATTAAATCACCTCAATATCTTCCGAGTAGTGTAGAAGGTAAACATGCAGCGGTACGTTACGTTTTAACAGCAGAATTAACCAAAGCGAATCCTCATGCTATTCATAAGGTAACAAAAAATGTTATTCTAAGAAAGAATAAATTATTAAAAGGTGAAAAATTTGATATTAATGAGAAAGAATTACACGAAGATGAACGTGAAGGATTATTGAAATATAAAGTATACGTTTCTAAATATTTAGCTATTGATGATGATAATGAAGTAGTAAATAATAATAATAATAATAATAATAATAATAATCAAGAAGAAAATGATACAACAAGCGAACCACGTGGAGTAATAAAAGTTGATGCAACTTTTGAATCATTGGATAAAGCTGGAATAAAGGAAGTTAAAGTGGAAGCATTTGAATATGAAATGTATAATTTTGCAAAATTTAATTCCGTTACTGGTGCTCCACCTGTAGCAAAAACGTAAATATTTACTTCATTTTATTTTATTATTTTATTTATTTTATTTTATTTTCATTTTTAATATTTTTACAATTGAGATAAAAAATGATAAAATGAATTATTTTCTTTTTTTTTTTTTTAAAAAAAAAAATAGAACTGCAACCAAGAAACCCACAACTACCCCATCAACAAAATCTCGAGTTGGAGTTAAAATTCCAGCATTTTCTAATCTTTCAGCAACAAATCCTCATCAAACTATTCCTTTACTTACTCCACCTCTTGTTATTCCGGTATTATCGGAAGCATCTGAACCGGTTTCTTTTGAAATTCCTATTCGTAGTCGAATGAAATTAAATGCTAATGTACTATTTTTGGAAATTAAACATGAAGTAATTATGACTATAAGGTTTGATAAATTTATGTTAGCACCTTTGAAATTGGAAGTACCAATAATTGTTATACCGCGTGATGCATGTTCTTAATTTCATTCTTCTCTTTTAATTAAAAAATTGAGAGAAATTATTATTTGTTATTATTATTATTAAGAATAAGAAATTATTTCATATTAAGGAGAAATTGATTGTTTCTATTTAATTTTATAAATTAATGTTATAAATTAGAGTTGCGTTGTGTTGGAAAGGGTAAAAAGGGTAAAAAAAGGTAAGATAGGGTAGTGGGGAAAGTAAATAATTGTTTAATTCAAATAATAATAAACATATAACTTTTTACTTAAATTCAATTATTTTTTCTAATAAACTCTTGATAATACCTTGCGATTTCCTAATAAATATTTTATCCATAGTCTTAATCTCTTAAATTACTCGCTTAAACTTATTAGTCAGTTTAATATAGTTAATAATATTATAACACTTTTTTAAATGCTTTTTCGAATACAATTTAATCTTCTTTTTTTTTAAAAATAAATAAATAAATAATAATTAAAGTTTAAATTTATAAAATTTTAAATAAATTTATAGTTACATTTTTTATAACTGAATATCTTTAATTTTCTTTATTTTTTTTTATAAAAAAAAAAGATTTTAATAATAATTAAAATAATTAATATAATTAAAATAATAAATATAATTATATATAATAAATAAAATTAAAAATAATAATTATAATTAAAATAATAAATATTTATGAATCAGGGTTTGTAAATGGTTTAATATAATCATTCCAATAGTTTGGTACTCCAAAACAATTTGGAGCTGCTTTGATGGTATTAAAGTATGCTATATTTATTAGATTTATTAGATTTATTAGATTTATATAAAAATAATTAGAAAAAAATATATAAATAAATATATATATATAAAAAGGTTAATAAGCATAATAATAAATCAATAATAATAAAAATCAAATAATAACAATAAAATCAATTACCTGTATAAATATCACCATCATACCTTCCAAAAGGAGCTTTCAATATAAAATCAGGAAATCCCCAAGCATCTACCAAAGGTATAACTATTTTTCTTGTTTCTTTACATATTTCCAAATAAACATTTTTTATCATTTTAATTTGATTCTTATTAAAATAATAACTATTACTATCACTATTACCACTATTATTATCGATTTCCAAGAATAAATGTAAATTTGTATGAATTAAATGTATCGACCATAATTGCCCCATTTTATACAAAATAGGTAATAATTTTTGATATTCTTCATTATTATTGTTATTATTATCAATATTATTATAATTAGATTTTGATAAATTTTTAAGTTCTTGATTATATTCATATAAAGCTAATCTCCAAGTATGAAGTTCCGCTAATTTTATGAGTGACATTTGATTATCATTCCATAAAGATGATGTTGCTTGAGCACCATTTAACTTAAAAATAAAATAAAATAACAATATTATTATTATTATTATAAAAAAATATATATATCTATAATTATTATATATTAACAAATATTATTATTATTGAATATTTACTTTATGAATCACCAACCAGGTAAAGATATCTAATGTAAAATCCAAGTCATATAATTGATTTTCATTAGACAAATTACATTGAGTAATTTTCATATATTTTTGAAAACCATTTAAATAAATTACTGATGATCCAATTTTTTTCCTTTTTCCTTCCTCTCCTTGAATAACAATAATATTCTTAAAAATGTCCAATAAATATTTCTAAGAATGAAATCAAATATTATTATCATAAGTTTATTTAAATTATTATTAATTAATGAATTATTATCATTATTAAACATACCGCTGTTTGTTGTAATAAAACAAAATTATCCCCCCCACCTAAAAAAAAAAAATAACAGAATATAAACTTAACATAAAATATTAAATTTATGACATAAAATAGAAATGATATTAGTTACCAGTAGTAGTTACACCCCAATCAGCAATGGCAGGTCCAATAGTATTATAAGCAGAATAAGCATGACCACCCATAGATCGACGAACTCTTTCTAATACTTCACTTCCCCACCAAGTTAATGTTGCTTTTAATCCAGATGAAATTGCATGAAAATCATTTATTTTCTCTAAAAATTCGGATTGATTTGTTTGAGCCAATTTTGTAGCTTGACTCCATCGATTTAATATTACTCTATAAAATTAGAGAAAGAAATGAATGAAAGGAAGAGAAAGAATGAATGAATAAATGAATGAACGAATGAATTTATAAATGTACCTATATAATACATTAATAACATAAATACTAGCAACACCGGGCATTAAATTTACATAATGAGATTGATAATCCATAATTTGTTCATTATTTGTACCTTGTCTTCTAATGCAACCATATCTACAAGCAATAGTCAAAGCTTGACCTAATGCATTTTGAGCTCCATAAAGTACAGAAAATCTTTCACCAATTAAAGTGATATAAGATAAAGCAGGATTAGGGGAAGGAATAAAAATTCCTTCAATAGTTACTTTAGACCATTTCATTAACATATATTCTCTTGGTACTCTTTTATGACAAAATTGAATCCAACCATTATCTAATCCATGTCTACCATATTTAGCTCCTAAATCACCAACTATAATACCTGGTAATGGTTTACCAGTTGGAATATCTCTTAATGGTACTATAAACCAATTAATTCCATAATTTATATTATCAATTATTGTTTGACATAATGCTACTGTATGAGTTGCTGTTTGACCCGCCATTCCTATCCATATTTTGGTTGATCCTAATGTTGGTGAATTTATAATAAATTCTTTAGTTGTTTTATCATATGTTGCTGTGGTTTCTAATCCTCTCAAGAATGAACTATTATTAAATATATTTATATTAGATATATAATATATTTATATATTTATTAGATATTATAAATAATAAATATCATACCTGTGAGTTAATTCTGTCTAATTATTTATAAAATTTATAAAATTAATTAATAAAATTTATAAAAATTATTATTAAGAATAACTAATAATAACTGATAAAAACTGAAAATAATTGACAATAACAATATTAATAATATTAATAATAATAATATTTATACCATTGCAAAACATCCAATTATTCTCCAATTTAAAATATCATCAATCCATTTATCTAATTAAATATAAATAGAATATAAATAGAATATAAATTTGAATATAATTAGAATATAGCTAGAATATAAACTGAATATATAACTTGAAATATAAATTTACCATATTGTTCTTTAGTTCCAAACATCTCAAATGCTTGACGAAATAAAGTATCATGAACATAAATTCTCATCCAGAACGCTTCTGAATATGTCCTTACAATTAATTAATTAATATCAATAATTATTATATCAGAAATAATTAATTAATATTCGGGGTAATTAAATAATATTAATAAATACCCCATCGTTAATTCCAATGCTCTACACAATAATGGATCATTCTTTAACGCTTGACGAGTTTTTTGATAACGTAAAATTTGTTTCATGACACTAATATTATTTGAAATGATTTGAATTATTGAATTATTGAATTATTGAATTATTGAATTATTGAATTTGATAAATTCTCACAGTTCACGTTGTTCTTTTAAAGTCATATCAAAAGGATGACCACCAGGAATATAAAGTTCCGGATCACGCTGTATTATTTTATATGCCTCTTCCTATAATATATTTATACATTCAGCATTATTCAATATTAAAAATATTAAATATGAGGATAATATGAATGATAAATGTAAATATAAGTGATAATATTAAATATGATTAATAGATAATATATACCAGAGCTTCAAACATTTCCTTCCCTCCATTAAACAACCATTTCATTTTTTGAACATCAAAACCAGGGTTTTCTCTTTCTCGAGCTAAATCGATTGATCCAGGAGAAAGATGATTCTGTATGACTATAAGTCGATTTATTGCATTATCTTTATTATCATTGCTATCATTATTAATTTTATTAATTTTATTAATTTTATTATTATTTTTCATAACTTTTAAGCTAAGAAAAATCAAAATTAAAAAAAAAAAAAAAAATCCGAAATTCTATCACTTTACCCATTTAGGCTATTATTATTGTACAAAAATTATTACTATGAATATCTTACTTTCTATAACTCGGAAATTTAAAATCCCCAATTCTAACTGATAATAAGTTCTATTAAAATTGCCTAATAAGCCGACTACCTTCCTAAAAAATATTACTTTTTCATTATCTATCTAAAAAAAGAAATAAAAATATGTATCGGAAAAAAATCCTAACCCATTGACCCTTGCACTAATTATTTATATTATATTTATATAATAATATTTATATAAAAAAAACTTGATTATACAAGGCATTTGCCGATATTAAAATCTATACAGTAACCGTATTTGACATTTCCGAGAAATACGCGCACAAATTAAAAAATATAAATTTTTAATAATTTTAAGATAAAAGATAAAGAAATAAAGGAAATAATGTTAGCACAAAAAAAAAATTAAATATAAAAATAACCAAATGTGAGTGTTCTTTTTTAAATATTTCTTTTTAATTTCTTTTCTCAAAATTTTTTAAATAAAATTTGACTTAATCATCCAATTAAATGAATGAACTTAAAAATCAACTAACCACTATAAATGGTATCTCTTATTGTCAGTAAGTAATCGCATTTGCGCATGGGGTAGTTTTATTTCACACCCGTCAAATATCAATCTTTATTATAAATAAATCCTTATTATCTGTCACACCAAATCCAAATGCGGGCGTGACAAAAATCAATAAATAATAATAATAAAATAATAATAATAATTATAATAATTATTATTAATTATGATAATAATAATAATATTTTATATTTTTATAACTTTGTAGATGGCCAATATTTATTTATAATTGTGTTGATTCTGATTATTTTGTAGCCATGTATTATGGAAATCTTATTACTTCTATAATTCTCTTTTTACTCTCTGGGGTAAATAATAATAATAATAATAATAAATTATAAATAATCAACTAATAATTGATATTATAATATTAATTGAATGATTTCAATAGATGATATTAATAATAAGACTAAGAAAACGTAATGGATTATTTACTGATGGTGTAATAGCACCTTTAGAAGGATTTCTTGGGTTTACATTTATGTGTAGTATAAGTAAGTATAATAAAAAAATATGTTCTAATAATGATAATCACTTTTAATTAATTAACTTTTAATTTTTTATTTATTTCTACACTGCAACTAAATAATAATAATAATAATACTTTAGTGAGAATAATATGTAGTATCATTTATATATACCAGATTATCCCTTCAAATTTTGCAATTCGAGAATTGATAGAAGATGCTCAATGGGTTTCCTCAGTACTTGCTTGTACTACTTATTTGGCAGGAGTGTAAGTAAATTGTTTAAATTAAATTGTTTAAATTGATTATTTTTAAAATGTTTAGATAAATATATATGTTATATATATATATATATATATAAATATTAACTGGGTAATAATCATACAAATATTTCTCCCATATTTCAGTTTTGTTGCTCTTCCAAAAATGGCATTCTATCAACCATCATCAACACAAATAACTAAAAAATTATATCTTCCTTCTTCCCTTTTAATTAAACGTTTTTATTGGTCATTTGTCATAATTCAATATACATCAGTTCAAGCATCATCATTTTTAACTGGTTTATTTCGAATGAATAATAATTTCTATTTAACTCGTCTCTTTTATATGATTAGATCATTTTGTTATGGATCTGGATCCTTTGTTTTAGTATTAGGTTTTGGTATATATGGAAGATTACTTATAAATTTAACTAAACAAAGTTTTGAATTAATTCAAGGACAGGGAGGAATTGTAGAAGCTTTTGGAGTTGAATCTAATATAAAAGATTTGGTGGTTGATGAAAAAAAAGGGATAACAAGAGTGATCACGAGAAAATTTCGAATTTTAAATAATCAAGAAAATAAAAGTGTCATTGAATTAAGAAAGAGAAGATTTAGATGGCGAATATGGAAGGTTTGTATTTCTTATCGCGTTATTATTATTATTACTATTTATTTATTTATTTTATTTTATCATAATTAATTAATTATTTTTTTTTATCATAATTAATTATTATTTTTTTTTTATCATAATTATTTATACATAATGATTTTTTGTTATTAAATTAGATGCAACTGTTTAATTTCTTCATAACAGCATCTTTCTTTTATTGGTCAATACAATCATTTATTATTGGTATTTGGTATGATTGGGTTTTTTCAACTTTATCAGTTTCTAAAAACCACGCATTTACGGGTTGCGTTATCACGACAACTACTGCTATTATTATGATGTTGGGAATTTTATTAAGGTAAAAATACATGAAATAATTTTATATAAATTAATTGAAATTTATATATATATAAAACATTGACAATAGTAATTATTATTATATTATTTATAATTATATAGTGAATTGTTTAAAGAAGACACAAATTCCACCACAGAATTAATGTTATCTAATAGTAATAATTTATCTCAATCCATTTCTATTGGATAAAAAATCATTGAAATTAATAACGAACACCATACATGCCTTTATATATGTTTTGCAGGACATACAATATATACAATGAACTACAGTAATTGGATAGATATATATATATATATGTATTTAATTTACTTTGTTGGTTGATGTATCTATATTTTTTTATATTTTTTTATATTTTTTATATATTTTTTTTATATATTTTTTTTTATATTTTTTTATATTTTTATATTTGTAAATTTATTTATTGTATTCTATCATAGAAATAGATTTAGAAATTCATGTTTTTTTTTTACTTATGATTATTGTTGTTTTCGGTCTTGCGTTTTTTCTTGTTGTTGGGCAACGATAACAAAATCAAAATAATCAGACGCCAATTCATTCAAATTACATAATCTACTTTTAATATCTTCCAAGTAAATTTTTTTGATCGAAATTGGTCCTCTTTTATCACCGAATTTGATAAATATTTCATTTAAGGCTTTTAGATGTTTCGCTATGGTTTTTAAGTCTCCTATTATCGTTATTTTATTTTATTTTATTTTATTTTATTGAATTATTATTGTTATTTGAATTATTGAAAAAAAAAATTACCAATTATTATTAATTAAAATTTGATAAATACTTGTCATAGTATAAAGGACTTGTATAGTTTCGGGAAGGATTTCCGTGATTTCTTTAATGACTTTTAACAATTCTTCTGGAAATTTTTTTTTTGCTTAAAAATAAAAAGATAATAACGAACATTATTATTAATCATCATTATTATTAATTATCATTATTATTAATTATCATTATTACTATCATTATTGTTACCTTTTTTCTTGGAATTAGTAAATTTTTGGTTCAACTTGTTAAAACTCATTCTCAATTTAACTTCCCAATCTTCATTAGTTTGATCTTTAAAATCATTAATTAATTCATAAATATCATTAATTCCTTTTTCAAAATTTTCAATCAAATTTTTCATTTTATTATACCAATCTTCAAATTCTTTTTGACGCTTTTGAATAATATCATTAATATTTTGTTTATAATCTTCTTCCCAATTCTTTATAATCTTTATTACTTGATTATAATCATTATCCTCATCTGTATTATCTTTCTTAAATTCTTTACATAAATTAATAATATCTTGAAATAATTCAACGGATTTCTCAAAAATTTGTTTTTCTTTAAATTCTTTACAATGCTCAGAGATTTGAGAAAGATTATTTCTAATATCATTTAACTCAGGTTCTTTCTTCCATTTTTCATCGGTAATAGAATATTCTAATTCAAATTCTTTTTTCTCAATAGGAAAATTTTTATTGGTACAAACAAATAAATATTTTAAAAGTGTATTCACTTTTTGTATATTGAGATCATTTTGAAGTTTTTGTTCAAAATTTCGAATAGTTGGAAAAATTGTATTATCCGGATCAATAAAAGACATTGTTTATCTGACTTTTTAGTCGTTGTTGAAATAATAAATAATTGTGTAAAATATTTAATGGAATTCACCAGACTTGGAATAATAATTATGTGGAATTCTATGAAAGAATTTTAAATATATTTTTTTATATTTTTTAATTTTTCTATATTTGGCGGAATTCTATTATTTTAAATCTATGATTATAAATAATATTTAATCATAATAGCTTGCTTTCCCATCCCAAATATGATTTTAAACACAGAATCATTAATGGAAATTTGATCGTCGTACCGACTTTTTTTTCGGGAGAATTTTATTTTACGCGTCTCCGATATTATTTGTCATACATATATATATATAAAAAAAAACAGTTCATTAGGCGGTAAAAGTATTGTTATTAAAAAATCAATGTAAAAATCAATTTAAAAAATCAATGTAAAAAATCAATGTAATCTGATTATTTATTTATAATAATGGGCATAAATACTTTATATTTCTTAGAAACACCTACAAATTATAACCTTTCGCCCAGTTATAAATCTTTTAATCTTTTTTGCATCATTAGTTCTGGTGTCTACAGAGTTATTTCATGTCATGTATAAATTTCTCTAAGTAATAAAGTCTAACATCAAGTGACTATTCTAGTAAAGGTGATTTATTTTAAATATAACTTATTAATGTAAAACAATAATTTTTACTAAATAAAAAAAAAAAAAAGGAACAAATAAACAATAAATACAGTAATGTGAATAATTATGCCAATTTTACAATTTATATATATAAATTTATGCGCTATTTAAATATAAACAATTAAAAAAAATTTTTTTTTTTCATTTTTTTAAATTATCTTTTGTCTTCTGTTATCAAATCAAATAAAAAAAAAAATTTAAATTATATTCTGTATCAAAAACTTTCAGTTCTTTGAGGTCTTATTATAGCACGTGTTGGCTTTTTTAATAACCATTCCTTTCTTAAATTACTTGGAACACCCTCAACCTTATCGTCATTTCTATTATCATTTCTTGTTTCATCAACATTTTTATTATTTGCACTTCCTTCATCATCATTATCATTATTATTATTATTATTATTATTATTATTATACCTATTTTGTGAAGGGTGTGTTAAGCTATTAAATATAATGGGCATAGTTGAAGTCGATGCCGTCATGGTTTCAGATCTTCGACGATGATAATTTGGCATATTTTCATTAATTAATATATCACCTGAACTTAAACTTCTTTGATGAATATGATAGCTTGGACGTGGACGAGATAAATAATCACTTTTGCTTGTACTTGTATTTGAACTTGTTATGTCTATTATTTCATCTATATTTGTTTCATTTGTTTCATTTGTTACACTTTTTGATTGTTTAATAAAACTTTTTCCAAATCCACCACCCGAAAATAGTCTAAAATTGTTACTACCATTTCTTTTAATTATTGATCCAATGCTAACACTATGCCTATGTCCTAAATTTTTCTTTCCACCTCCAAAATTATGATTGGTAGATGTATTTGTTAATGTAGGAGTGTCAGACATTATACTAAACCTTTTATCATCATTTTCTATAGTCTCTTCAATAGAATTTTTGATATTATCAATATTATCTTCAGAACTATTGAAGTCATAAATATATTCTGGTTCATCATAATACAAGATCTCAGAATCATCTAAAAAATTATCAAAATTATCGATATTATCGGTATTATCATAGTTACATCGAATTTTTCCTTTCTCTTTATATTCTTTATGTTCTTTATGTTCTTTATTTTCTTTATTTTTTGATCTCTTCGTTACCAATATAGTTGAATCTGATTGTCGGCGAAAATATTTAGGTGACTTTAGATTATTAACAAATGATGAAAATTTATTTTGTTTTGGGATAGAGGAGGAAAAATTTGGAAATGATGAAATGGTGGCTGTTGAAAGTGTTGGTGTTGGTGTTGGTGTTGATAAATTCAATGATTCTGGAAAGGAAATGTCTGTTGTTATTGGAGATAATATTTTAGGAAAGGTTGGTGATAATATTGTTGAAGTTGGTGATAATGGAGATGATAAATTTGAAATAATTTGGGAATCTTCAGTATTAATTATTTTAGTATTATATATTAATTGTTGCACTCTTTTAAATGTATTCATTGATTCAATTTTTCGTATCTTTTCTTCTATATATTCTTCCTCTTTATTCTTATCATCATCATCATCATTATTATTATTATTATTATTATTATTATTATTGTTATTATTGTTATTATTATTGTTATTATTATTATTATTATTATTATTATTATTATTATTATTTCCTTTATCATTTAATCTTTCGTTGGAATTCTCATCATCACAAACGTTATCTTCTTTTATAATTTCCTTTTCAATCATGATATTATCTATTATATAATGATTATTATCATATCTATCAATTTCATTGTTGTTAGAATTATTACTACATCCACTTTTTTCAATTTTTTGAACTTCAGAATAATTTCCCTCAAATTCCCAATTTCTTCGAACATATCCTTCAGAATCAAAATAATAATTATATTTCCTTTCTTGAATATCATTTTGGTCAGATATGGAAATAATATCGCTTGCTCTCTTATCCTTTTGATTTTGTTGTTGCATTTGAAGTTTCGACTTAGATTGTGATTTATTATGATGGTGTTTATTGTGTTTTGACTCTGAATCTGAATCATTGGAATAACGCTTATTACTATATAATGATAACGAATGATTTAACTGTTCAATTGGTTCTGTATCAGTATTAATTCTCATGATATGTTGTTCATTCATTAAATGCATTTTAGATCTTTCATCGAATGAAGAATCTTCCAGTGGATAATGTTTTTCTTCTTCAAGTTCGTTATCAAAACAAGTCGGTGAATTATTCCTATCCAATTGAAGTGAAAAATGATGTTGATTGTTGGTTATTAATGCATGTTTTTTTTTTGAGAAGTTTTGTGTTGGGGAAGTTATTAAAATACTTTTTCAATATATAATAGAGAACCCCGAAGAAGAAAAAAAAGTTTCAAAAAAAATTTAAAATAAGTAAATAAAATTAGTGAATAAATTTAGCTTTAATTGATTTATACCATATTCGCTCTCCAAAAAAAAAATAACTATGATACTTACTTATAAATCATTATCCATTGAACAATGTTAATTACTACTGGAATCAATAAATTAAAAATAAAGAAATAAAACAGATTAAATTCTTGTTTAATAATAGTACTTCGATAATCGAGGCCATAAATTGTTAAAACAGGAAGTTGTATTAAGGCGATTATTAATTGAGCCATTAGTGGAAGCGAGAGCTGAAAATAATAACGAAAAAGATCAAAAGTACCGATATAAATAATATAAATAATATAAATAACAATATAGATAAATAACAGTATAAATAAATAGCAGCATAAATAAATAACAGTATAAATAAATAACAGTATAAATAACAGTATAAATATCAGTATAAATATCAGTATTAAGCGGTAAGAAAGAAGGAAAGAAAATTTTTAATTAAAAATTTTTTTCCCCTTACCACACTTACGTCATTACGTCCACGTTTCAATTGTTCCATTTTTAGATACACCTCTCTATTCCTTTCATCATCATTATAACGTAGTCGTAATAAATTAATTCCACCAACAACTACCTTAATCAATTTAAACCATACTCCTACCATAATAATTACATATATAATTCCCCAAGAGAGCCAAATAAATTGATGTACTTTAAAATAATTATTTGCATCATTTATATAACCGTTATCAGCATAATATCCCGTTAATATTGAAAAAGTTATAAAAATTATAAATGGTGAAATAAATAAAAAGAAAAAGAAGATATCAATGAGTACGGATTGACGATTGGAGAAGATAGAACTAAATGAAGAAGTTTGGCGAGAAAGTGAGGAATCGTTATTGGTGGTTTGGGTTGGGGTGGGATTAATTTCAAATGAAGAGGTTGAATATGCTAAAAAAAAAAATTATTTTTTTTTAATAATCCACAATGAAATATAAAAAGAATTCAATTAGAATCCAATTAGAATCCAATTAAACGAGATCCTTAAAAAAATCTTTAATGATATCTCACCAATACTCAACGGATACATCACAGAAATTGAAGCTCCAAATGTTCGTGGTAAAATATTTCCGACTATTATAATTAATATTCAAAAAGAGGTCAGGATTCAAAAAATTTTCATTACGCTTATTCTTTTCAGTCTTTTATATAAACATATAATCTATGTAATATGGAATTAATAGAAAAAATATGTATTTACTTTCAGCCGATATTATATTAGGATAAGCATCTGCTAGTAATAATATTGAGTGAATTATCTGAACTAAATAATAAAGAATTTTAAAGAATTTTAAAGAATTTTCAGTTAGTAAAGAAAAGAAATTTCCAAAAAATTTATAAGACAAGTAAATTCATATAAAAGCTATAAAAATTTTTTTTGCGTAAAATCAAATTTGTATTTCAAATTTTCCTGTTTAGGATATCTCATATTTGTTATACGTTATTCTATTCTTACCAGCCTTTTCCTAAAACACACTCTAAATATTCTAAATATTATTATTTATTTATTTTTTTTTTTTCGCCAGAGAAAATTAATTCTCCAGTATTTTATTTCTTTGACAAATTAAGAGAAAAACTTCCAATATAAAATAAATCCAATAAATTCATTAATACTTACACAATAAATAACCACCATTAATTAAACACCAAACATGTTGTGGTCTTGGTCGCACATATCCTCGATCTATTCGTTTCGGCAACCAAAATCCTTGTTTCTTAATTCTTATCAAATGATATAATAAACCTAATGATGTAAATAATAATATTATACAGTATGGTATCAAAAGGATATTAGTTATCACAAAAATTCGTGAATCTATACAATTGTGAATAATTAATCGAAAATCACATGAGCATTGTGAAGGAGGAAAGGAGGAGGAAGAAATTTGTGAAGATAAATGGGAAGGAGTTGTAGTATTATTAGATGAAAAGGAATCATTAATGAAGCTTCGACATACTAATGCAAATGAACTTTTGTTGTTGAAGGTCATAATAATGATTTTGAATGAAAAGGTATATATTATGCGAGAAAGAAAAATGTATAATTGAATAATGTGTAATAAAAATGGGAATGAATGTATCTATATGCTGAAGTTTATGTTATGTGTTTAAAAAAAAAATATATATTACGCATATAATATAGTTTGATGAATGAGAATGTAAAAAAAATTGAAAGTTGTAGATTCTTTGTAATGCTGTTATTGTTGAATGGTTGAATAATTGAATAGTATTGAATGCGATTTCTCGTAATTTTTATATTTATTTCTTGGTTTGGCTTGGTATCTGAAATCTATAAAGTTAATTAGGTAATTATTAATAAACTTTAACTTGGAATAATGAAAATAAAACAAAAATATAAATGAATAAAAAATGAACAGATGGATGAAAAAAAGGATGGAAAATTGAAGGATGAGAGAAAAGAGAAAAAAAAAAAAAAAAGTGAAAGTTTATTATAAGATGATTGCAAATAAAATGGTATAGAATTAAATGATAGAATTACCACTGAAATCACGAAATAATTCTAATTTATAAATCAAATCCTAAGAAATACATAAAAAAAAAAAAGAAAAAGAAAAACGCATTTCCGACATATAATTTTTCTTCGCGATAAACATGAATTATAGATAATATGTTTAATAATGAAGAATAAAATAAAATTCTTTTATGTGGCTTTGGCGTTTTAAAATTTTAGCATTATATCGTTTTTATCTCGTTTGTATCTGGTTAATTATTACTATTACTATAATTATATAATTTTCATTAGATTATTTGATATTATAGAAATGTTTATTGTTAAAATTTTTAAGATTATTTGGTGAGATTGTTATCTATTTGTTATTCGTTGATTGTGAAAGAAAAAAAAAGATTTTTAGATAAAACTAGTTAGTCATAATGTGCTTCTGTTTGCAGCAGCAGTTTACGTAATGAATATGAAAAAAGATCAATAATAGGAATAAAAAAAAATAAAGAATAAATTTATAAATAATGAATGGTGGCTTAGTTTTTGGTTTTGTTCGAGAAATATTTAAATAATGAATGAAAATTCTATTGTACTTGATATCAAACAAAAGTACCTAATAAATATTTAAATAACTCGTTGCGATAGATATTTCATTCGATATTTTATCATAATATATTTCCTCTTAATATAAGCTACATTTAATATATTGTAGTTTATAGAGAGAGTTAGCGAGAGGGCTAGAGAGAAAAAGAATAACAAAAATGAACGGATTATCAGAGGAATGAAAAAAAATAAAAGAAAAATGTGAGAAAAAAAGTGAGTTAATACGCTACCGATTTAATATAATTATCAAATTTTTTACAAGTTTGCTGACCTGTGTAATGTGATCTGAAGCTAACTCAATTTATCTAAGATAATTAGGATAATTATTAGAAGAAAACAAATGAAGAAACGAAATACATTTTATATAAAAGAAAATAAAAAAGGGAAGTGGTCAAAATATTCAAAATATTCGAGATAATTGAATTAACTAAAGCTGAACAAATTGTAATCAATTATTATAAATTATAAAAAAATTTAGTATACTCAAATTATTTGCATTACTTACCCTTATTATTAGTTCTTAATAAATTTAATAAATTCAGAAACATGTATAATTAAAATAAATTTAAATAATGTAATGATCTTTTTCAAAATCGAAATTCCGAAAATTCTGAAAATCAAAGAATATTAATAAAACCGTGTGAATTTGATTTAGGATCAATTTATTAAAGTAATTAAATAAATTTAATAAATTAAAATTATGATAAAGCTCTTGATTGAATTTGATAATAATGATAATAATAATAAAACCTTAATTATAAAATGTTGATTAATTGATAAGAATAGAATGTGTGTATATGCACAAAAAAAAAGAGGATTTAAACAAATGAAACATAAATAATAAATAAATCGTTGACGTTGAAAAGAATTAACCGGTTTATTATTTTTTTGTTGTTGTATCCTGTTTTATCGTTACATTTCGATTTCGCCATAAGAGATGAAATCGTTGAAATATTAGATATATGTTGATATGTTATACTAAAAAAAAAAATTACGTGCATATTTTCGAAATAAAAAATTTCAGTTAGTCTAATGTTAATGCATTACCACATAACAAAATCATCTGATCGTACCCTTATTTGTAATATTTCTTTGTCCGAATTTTTTTTTCTATATTGAAAATCTAGTGGTACTTGCTATTTTAATACTTCCATTATTCAATTATCCTATTATCCTCTTTAAGAAATAGCACATTATTTAAATTAAAAAATTAAAAAAAAATTTATAATTAATTTAAGCCGCGAATTTTTCTAATCTTTCTAATTTTATTAACTAATATCATTACCCAATCATTAATAAATTACTAATTATTACTAACATCTTTTGACGGTGATCAAAATGTTTTTGAATATGAAAAATATGAAAGGATATATTTGTACGATATTCATGTACATTTTAATAATTAAAAGTGAGTTGTAAATGATATTCCAAATAATTATTCTTTATTTTTTTTTATGAAAAGGTTCTGTCAATAGATCATTCCTATAAAGAACATCATTTTCACATAGTCAATATAATAATTAAATAATAAAAGTTAGAAATGATACACTGTTATCATCGGACTTTAATTTTACATATAGCATTAATATGTATTGATTATATCATGTGATTAATGTGATTAGAAAAAATCCAGTGATTATATAGAGGTTTATTTGTGATTATAGAAAATTTTTAATATAAGAGTAAAAAGAAATTAATATTTCTTTAATTACGTTAATTACGTTAATTTCGTTAATTTACGTTTTATTAAAAATTTAGATTCATATATTAAATTAATTAATTGAAGAAAATAAATTAATTACTGTACTGCAATAAAATTAAAGTATACTCAATTAATAAAATTATTAAATTATATTCGATATTAAAAAATATGATCTTCAATATCCCATTTTCCTTCACCAGTCTCTTGTATTTTTTCTTTGCCAACTCTCTCCCGTTCAAGCCAATATTCATGATTAAACATCCAATATTTTTCTCCTGTATCCGGCTCAATATCTCGTTTGAACCATCGTGGTACATGATTACCATTCAAACCTTGTTCACGATTTTTTCGTTTTTCTCGTTGTTTCTCTTCTAATCTTATTTTTTCGGAACTGGCAAGATCGTATGATCCATTTTCCAGGGCCCTTTGATCAGGTCTTAATCGACTATCTGTGGGTGCGACCCATTTCTCTAATGAATCTGATAAATCGTTGAGTGTTATGGCAAATGGTGTAAGGTTAAATGGTAATGGTTCTTCGGGTAATGGCTTTCGTTTCCACAATAAATATATTGGTCTTCGATTTGCATTATGAACAGTGTGAATTGAAGGTGATGGTAGGACATCATCATTGGTCAATGTAGCACTCTGTGCTGCTGTATCACTGCCAAGATCTTCTTCCTGTGATGATAAACTTGTTCCACAACGTCTTGCCACTAGACGTTCATTCCATCTTCCTGCAATTTCCCAGATCTCTTTATCATTTGAATCTTTAACGTACCCACGAATTTCAAATGCATCTTTACCTCTCCATCCTCGAGCTTTAAATGTCAAAACACATTTATCCCCTGTCAAATGATTTACAATTATCATATCTCCATAATGATCTATCCATGGGGTACCAACTATCAAATTATATACACAGGTGGTCACCTTTTTCCATGAATAATGTTCGGAAAATGCATTTGGATTTCCTCGTGCTGGAAAATCTTCAGGTGACCCTTCAATTCCATTTGGCCATTTATCTTTAGGAACTTTGAGATTAACATGTGAAACCCCTTGTGGTAAAATTTCAAATGACTTTCCCCAGAATTTTGATTTGACATCTACCTCTGCGAAAAAATTGTAATTCGGTGATTCACCATAACAAGCACTTACAGGCTGTATTGAATAAATTTAATTGAAATTATTAAATTTGGAAAATAAAATTTATATCCCAAGAGATACGCGTAAATCTAATAACAATAACAAAAATAAATAAAGATAGAGTAAAGAAAGTTTATTACTTACGGGATGATGCAAAACTTGTTCAGACACGTATCGGAAAGCTTTATCCGGTCTCACGTATTCATACGTTTCTCCCTATAATAAAAAATAATAATGTATTAAAATCAATTATATTAGAGATATTTAAATAAGATTGCATTGCTCACAAAGAGAGATAGAGTGAGAATAAGAAGACATACCAGTAACGGATTAAAAGGTTTTGCAATCCGCCCCACCGTGCTTGAATAATTACTCATCGCAAACGCTGCCACATATAATATTCTCTCCGTGCTTCCTCTCTGTCGTGCCGCATTATCCAACAACTCACTATATTCCATATCCTCAGCCATTCTTTGTAACATGGAAGTTGGTTCATTGAAATAGACAGGTAATGTGATCTTACTTAAATCCTTGCCTATCGAGTTCTTCAATATAGACCAGAGTGAAACCTCGGGACGTGAAGATTTTGAATCAATCGGTAGTTGTTTTCTAAATACCTTTGGATAACCATCATATGAGTTTACTATGTATGGCGCTTCTTCGTCTGATACATTTGAATTATTGATTAAATCATCTTGAGTTTCTCTACCATCAATCGCATCATAAAATTCATCAGAATCATATTCATCTGCCAAAGTTGATGTCATAGATGAAATAGTATTCAATTCTGTAACACTTTTGTCATGAATAATAACCGATGTATAATCATCCGATTTTCGTAATAATGGACTCGTTGGTGATATTTCAGCTACAGCAGCTTTCAATTGTTTTTTTAGAATCTTTTCTTCCATAACATTATGTTGAATCACTTCTTCCATCTCTGCCTGATTTGATCCTAATTCACATAGAATAGTTTCTAAACTTTGTTTAATCTCCAATTCTTTCTTTAATTTATTTTTCCAATATACTTCTTGCGCATTAGACATCCTGACTACATCTTCGATAAGGGAATGAAGCGAAGACAGTGATTTAGAAAAAGTTTCAATTAACATAGACTCTTTTGAATCCGGTAATGGTGGTTTGGGTACTATTGATAGTAATGAGTGTAAAAGCTGGTTTTGCAAATCTAATTGTACTCGTGTATTACTTATTACCATTTGAAAACTATCCTCTTGTGAAGATCCCTCTGCTTCTATTGAAGTATCTGATGGTGATATAGTATGATCACCAAAATCTTCATTAATTAATTCTGAGTTTTGATTATATTCAGTGTGTGCATTTGATTTATGTTTACTTTTTCCTTGTCGAACAGTTTCTTCGTTACCGACATCATCAGCAGTACCCAATCGAATATTTTTTTGATCCTTGTCAAACTTTATGGTGGAGTGAGTGAGAGCTGTTATCCATCTCTTAGCTTCGTTTGGATATGCAGCACGTAAATGATATCTTACTCCCCCTTTTCCAATGATTGAAAATCGTTGTGCATCAGATTTATCAATAGAAATTGTAGTATGAGAGTTAATCATATTTATAGATCCACGACATGAATTCCCAGCATCATCTTGATTTTTGAAATATGAAAGTATTCCTTTTGGTATAATAATAATTATATAATAATTTCGGATATACAGAAAAATAAGAATTTGAGCAAAAGAAAACCACTCGAGAATTATTCCTAAAAAAAAAGGTAAAATTTACCATTCTCAAGTACAAACCATCTACTTTTGTATCCACTTGCGTAATTTGTCCACTTTAACAAGTAGCCTTTTAGTTTTAGCGGTTGATTTAATGGTGATGATATTGACGAACTTGAGATTGCTGTGGCTGAATATAAAAAATCAGAATATGAATAAACTGCAATTTATGATTATGAATTTAAATTTCATTATATTCTATCATCTTATGCTCACCTTTTTTAAGTAAAGTTTTAATATTCTCATCTTTTGTAACATCTGCCGCAACTTTTCTTTTCCGATCTTTTATCGAAATATCTGCTCCATGTTCCAAACAAAACGTTACCATTTCGTAATCTTTTTTCCGGGCAGCATCGTGTAATAACGTTGATCCCGTGGAATCTTGAAAATTTATATCGATTAATGCAGATGCTCGAGGATCTTGGAATAATACTCGAATGCCATCATAGTTTGAGCTGGACAAATATTTTCCAAAAAGACTGGTGATTTCATCGACATATCGTGCACGGTTTTCTAGGAAAAGAAACAGATAAGTTAGATGATGCCTCAAAAAATTTTTCATGTTCATATCAAATGTTTAAATAATAAATCCTACAATAATATATATATATATACATGAAATTACATTTCAATAATTCTATCTATAAAGAAATAAGTTTTTATATAAGGATTTAAATAATAAATCCTACAATAATATATGAAATCAAAAAAATAAAAATAATAATAATAAAAATATATTTATGAATCCCATTTCATTAATTCTATCTCTAAAAAAATAAATTTCTAGTAATTACCATCCAAAAGAGTCGCGATCTCTGCATTCTCTGCAACATCTATTGCCTGTTTACTCTCATTATTCGGGATAGTATCATTAATATTTTTCTGTTTTAATAACAATTTGCAAACATCTACTCTCCCGATCCGTGCTGCACAATGTAATGCCGTATTCCCTTGATGATCTTGATGATTTATATTAATCTTGTTCATAAAATTGTTCAAAATAAATTCAATTGTTGACAAAGTGGCACATTGAACGGCCAATGATAATAGTGAAATAGATGATATTGATGAACTGGGAGATGTAGATGAAGTAGATGAGGTAGATGGAACATGGAAGGTACCAGATATTGACATTGAGGAAGGTGATGGAGGACTGAATTGTTGATAGGTTGATAATATGTTACTCAAAGCAGTAGTATTTCCTTTTTTGAAAATAAAATGGTTTTGGGAATTATTACTTAGTTAACAATTTTAATTTCGATTAAGGTTTAAAAAGAATAGTACCTGATCGAAGTACATCCAAAAGTTTATAAGTTTTTAAAGATTCTTCTAAAGCTAAAATAAAAATAATTATAACCAGTTTATTAAAAAAAAAATAATGTATCTTCTTCAAAATTAAATTCCTTATTTATACTAAATTTCTTCATTTTTTAATTTAATTTCATCATTTTCATTCATTCATTTCTGAACGGGTTTACCTAAATGTACTTTGTGAGAATTCATCAACAAATTTCTCTCTTATTAAAAAATTAAATAATAAAATTTACCGCTAGAATTTCTCCTTGTTATGATTTTCAAACCCGATTCTGGAGTTCGGCTTGTTTGAATTTCTGTTTTTGATTTTACCGACATTATTGATCTTAGGATTTATGAATAAGTTTTTAAGGAGGATGAGTTATTAATATACAATAGAAATATAGTCGTAGTTGTTTCTTTTACTACTAAATCTTTTCCTTTTTAAATTTTCAGATATCGGTTTTCGAGTTAATTAAGAATTTTAAACGAATTAAGAATTTAAACGAATTAAGAATTAGTCAGAATTTACGAATAAAATTAGAACATTTATGTGATCATGGTTCGGGTCCCGACTCAAATTTAGATTTAAAATCAACGATTTACACTCCAAGCCTCAAATTTCCATAAATGTCACGAAAAAAACAAAATCCATTGTGTTAAATTTATTTTATGTAACATGTAGAACATGGCTTAGCATATGCAACTGATATATACAAATAATAAATATTTTTTGACATAAATGATTCAACCGTGACTTTTTAAATGCGAAACCTTGTTACATGCAAAGTATGGGTTAGAATATTCTTTTAAGAAAATCAAGAACAAGGAAGTATTATAATAATATCTTTTTTTAATCTTTCAAAATTATTGTAATAGACAGAAAAAAAAAAGTAGGATAAAATTATGATATAAAAGGAAAAGGAAAAAATTCTAGATGAACAATCGACTTGACTTTTTCCTTACGAAGACTCAACAGGCATATCATCTGATAATATTTTAAAGTTTTCGAACCAAAAGTGATAGCTACGGAAAATAACTACCATTGAGTCCAGCCCGTAGCAAATTCTTTTGAAAATGAGACATCATATATTTTCAGATTTTGATCATGTGTACATAATAAATCTTCGAATGTAAAACCTCGTGAGACGGTAAAGTTTGATTACTTTTTGATGTGATATGACGTGAGAGTGCCTAAATAAAATTTATGAAAAAAAAAAGCTCTCTTTATATGTAATTTGTTTTATTGTTTTGACACAATTTAAAAATCATTTGTTGAAAAAAAAAAATAATAATTGCTGATTATTATCCACAAATTAAAGTGAAATAATTAATTGAAATTTTTTATATTATTACTGCAAGAATGTCAAAAAAAGTATAATATTTCGTCTCAAAATCCTTTATTTCTTTGAAGATTATATTCTCAGTAACAAAAAAAAGAAGATTGTTAATCAATCAACGATTTTTTTTTTTATACAAATAGATTAAGAATAAATAATAATTTAACACTTTAGTAATTAAATTAATGATGTTTAAAAGGAATAAATGACGATAAAAACGCGAAGTGGTAAACGGCAAAATGATATCTTAAAAAAGATATTTCAGATTATTGAATAAAGAGTCAAAAAAAAAAAATTAATTTATGAATGGACATTCCCAAAATGGATAACGTGGGATTTTCACGACGCGACTACTTAAGGAAGCTTCCCCCCTTTTTTTGAATTTTTTTTAATTTTAACATGAAGTTAAATTATACATCTACTGAAGAAGTTCCTCAAGTAAATTAAATGATAATTTTTTACGTAAATTTTTATATTATCTTATCTTTATCCGAATTTATCCAAAATATTATATAGATTGTTGAAGCCCTTCGAAGATCTTTTTTCTCCAATTTGACGAAACCATTAAGTTACAGAAAAAATCAATTGAAACAATTATACAATTTACTTGATGAAAATGACCAAGAATTATGTGATGCTTTACAAAAGGATCTTCGTAGGCCAAGGACTGAAACGATGCTTGGCGAAATAGCCATGATTAAACAAGAAATTTACGATTCTATTGAAAACCTTGATACTTGGGCAAAACCCGAATTCGTAAAAGTTGGTATCGCTCACAAATTGAACAAATGTCGAATAAGAAAGGAACCAGTTGGTAGATTTTTATTCATAACATTTAAGAATATTTTAGATATTTCAGTGTTTATGTCTTTAATTAAATTTCTTTATTACATTATTTTTCATTACACAGGCAGTGTTCTTATAATTGGTGCTTGGAATTTTCCCATTCTTCTTTTACTTTTACCTTTTGTCGGTGCTATTGCTGCTGGTTGTACTGTTATTCTCAAACCTTCTGAAATATCAGAAAATTGTGCGACCGTTATTACTGAACTGTTTCCAAAATATCTTGATCAAAATTCTTATCGCATAGTGAATGGAGATGTTAAAGTGACTACAGTATTATTAGAGAATAGATTCGATCATATATTTTATACTGGTAATGGAATAGTAGGAAGAATTATTATGGGAGCCGCGGCAAAACACTTAACTCCAGTTACTTTGGAACTTGGTGGTAAAAGTCCAGCAATTGTGGCAAATGATGCAGATGTTCCAATTACTGCAAAACGAATACTTTGGTCAAAACTTTATAATTCTGGACAGGCAATTGATTTTTCATTTAAATTTTTTTTTAATCTTTAATAATTTTCACTTTAATTAAATTTATTATTATTATATTATTATTATTATTATTAGACATGCATTGCTCCTGATTATGTTATTTGTGAAAAATCCGTACAAGAGGCTTTTGTAAAAGAAGTTCCTAGAATCGTTAAAGAGTTATACGGATCTGATCCTCAAAACAGCCCAGATTCTTCCCGTATAATTAGTCAAAAACATTTTAATCGTTTGACTGATTTGTTAAATAAAACGGAAGGAAAGATTGTATACGGAGGCAATAAAGATAAAAATGATTTATTCTTCCCTCCAACAATAGTTTCTGATGTTCCAAAATATGATTCATTAATGCAAGAAGAATTGTTTGGTCCAATTTTACCTATTGTTGTTGTTGAGAATCTGGATGAGGCATTAGAATTCGTTAGATCTAAGGATATTCCTTTAGCTATTTATCCGTTCAGTAACAATGAAAAAACTATTGAAAATAGTAGGTTATATGGTCAATTTATTAAATTATTATTATTATATATATATATATATATATCAATATATATATTTTATTTTATTTTTTTTAGTTCTTGACAATACTCGTTCTGGTGGAGTACTTATCAATGATTGTTTTATGCAATTCTCGGGTATGTTTTACTGATTACTGGATTTTTATAAAATTTTATAATTTTAATAAAAGAATTAAATGATTATACCTTTTTTAATTAATAGTGTCAACGTTACCATTTGGTGGCCAAGGACATTCAGGAATAGGAAATTATCGTGGAAAAAGAACTTTCGATACATTCTCGCATGAGAGAAGTGTGATGACTTCTCCTCTCATCCTGGAAAGATTAGTAGAAGTTCGTTATCCGCCATATACAGAAAAGAAGCTCAATTTTATGTCTTGGTTATTATTTTCGCACAAAAGGAGAAATGAAACGGGATTTCTCAAAGCTACAATTGGAGCAATATTTGTCCTTTTTATTTCTTATGCTTTTTACTCCCCATTTTCGAAGTTTTATTCATATTTTTGGTAGTGCATTTCATCCTAAATATAATATTTATCATATTTAATCATTTTCAATTTCTATCTTTTGCCTGCTTTATATCTTTGATAGCAATAAGACTAACTAATCTTTTTTTTTTTGTGTTAATATTCTGCTACCTGAAAAATCAAGAAAAGTAATAAAATTAAAATATCAAAAACTTGAAATTTGATCTTCCATTTCTTAAAAGAATGGAGGAATATAAATATTACTATGATTATGTTCATATTTATTAAACGATATGATAAAGTGTAAAATATAACATTGTAAAATCAAAAGAATATTTAACAATGCAGTCTGATTATATATCCTAATAATTATTGGTATGTAAATTCCTACTTTCCTCTATTCAACCAGTAGATATTTATAATATCTTTTTAGTTTCACGTTCTTTATGAATTCATCTTTCAATCTTGATCCTTAATAATTCCTTCTTCACCACCATTTGTATAACAAGGTCCTATATAATATTATGTTATATAATCTTCCTTTTCAACAGCCATCAAATACCATTTATATGTCTCTCTTTTTTTTTTTAATCTACTCCCATATGTAAAACCCAATATTATTACTTCCTTCGAGAACAGATTTTATGCTATTCACATAACAATGATAAATATTACCAGATATTCTTCTTCAGCAGCATACTATGTGACTTGAAGCTATAAGGGTCCTAAAGCTCAATCAAACCTAAACTGAACTGTTAGTTTCGATTTGTTCCAGTTTTGATTTAATAATATATAAACTAAAATATTCGGTTTGGTTTCGATTTGGTTACAGTTTATTAATAGAATCCAAACTGAATATTTCGGTTTACATTACATTATACATGCCGTTAAAAGTAAAAGCCTTTGACTCAATTACTGAAATTTAATTACGTTATGTAATTGTATCAAATAATTGTCGATTTTAAAATATAATAATTTAATTAAGTCAATTTTAAATATACGCCAGTCTAAATTCAATAGTTTTGAGAACTTAAATAACAGTTATAAAAAATCCCTATTTAATTAATAACCAATAACTTCATATAGAACTTTAACTCATGTTCTCTAATATAATTTTTGATCATAATTAGTTGCATGGAAAAACCTAAATTCTTTGTTTTTTCTGTTAGATGACGAATGCGGTTGTTTACATAGCTTTTACATGAATGCCCAAATTTATTTATTTTTTTTGCGGAACAAGCAGAACAAGCAGAATATGCTCAATTGTACTTAAAAATCCGTTCTATGCATCCTTTAACATAATATTTTTTTTTTTCAATTGTAATATTTAAAAAGATTCGTTGAATTATTTGATATACATCAAGCCATCTCGAAATTTTATTGCTACGAAGGTTGCATACAAACATTATGCGTCTCGTGGAAATTTACTCACGTGCACAATACATTTATAAATATTTATCTTGTATCACTTTAAAGTCTTGTCTTTTGATGAAGCTCCAAAATTTCTGAATTGTTATTAGAATCCTTTCTTTTTATCTTTATTTAAATTGTAATTTTTGTAATATATTTCAAATCAAATTTTCACGACTTTACTTCCTTCAAAGAAATAATAATAATAATAAAATGCTAGCAACTAAAGTTCTTAAAAACCTTTCGGTAGTTTTGGAATTATCTATACCTCCAAGCAATGTTCCAGTGTCTTACACCTTTCAACTAAAAAAAGGACAACTTTTATTAGATATGGTTAAAAATTTCATGGTATTACACGATATACCATGCTATCTAGAAATTTCTGTAATGTCAACCATTGAATCATTGATGAGGGAAAGTTGGCGTCGTGACTTAGAAAGAGATGCAAAAAGTAAATAACAAAAAACAAAAAAAAAAAACTTTACAATTTTTCGGCATAAATAATATTTTTTTTAATAATGTTTCTTTTATAGTTGGCGATGCATCCAAAGCATGTAAAACTCGAAAAGAACTCGTCGCTAAATATCAAAAATATACGATTAATTTTAATGATGCACCTGTGGAGGTTAATAAAGTTTTTAGATATTTCCGATATTCTTTTAGAAAAAAAAAAAAGTTATCAAATTATCTGATTAATTTTTGTCGTTATAAATAATAATGATAGGATATTTTTCCTAAAGCTTATCACACATTAGTACATTCTCCCGTTCCATCTATTTTTGATACCTTATTACAATTTGAACAATATTGTAAGCAAGCTATTAAGGAATTAAGAAATACGCGAGATGGACATACACGAACTATCGAGGAGAGGTGAGATAAAGAAATCCTTTTTTATTTTCTTTGATCTAAATAATTAATAATAACTTTATCAATTATTATATTTAATAATATTGCATTTAAATTAATTTAAATTAATTTTAAATTGCAGACATAAAAACAATATTGATGAAGTTGTTGATAATTATTCAGAAAGTGATTTAGCGAAGTTAATTGAACTACGTTTGGAGGTAAATGACAAGTATTAAGTTCATATTAGATAAAAAGACAAAATATTCAATTAAATCATTTTAAATTATATTTTTTTCAGCAGAGACCATCCTAAAAAAAAAAACAAACACTAAATTATATTTTTCAACATAGGAAGTTGAACTGAATCAAGCAAAGTGGCAAAGTAAATTAGAAGAGGTTCAGATAAAACAAAAGCGCGAATATTGCGATTTTGTTTTGGAACTCTTTGAAGCACATCAACGTTGGATAACAGAGCAACACTCTACAGTTGATCTTACATGGATATATAAATTAGATGGGAAAATGATTGTTTCAGAAGTTATTAATAAAATGAAAAAGTCACAGAGAGCGGTTTCAAAAGAACTTCTTCGACTTGGTCAAGAGAAAGCCGCACGAAGTCGTCCAGGAAGTATAAGTACAATGTCCGATATTATGCATTCTCCAGTATTAATGTCCCCAACTTCACCAATGTTTGCTAGTCCTGTGGACGATAAAAAATTCTTTTTGGTAAATAAATATTATTTTTTTATTTTTTTTTATTTTTCTAAAATATAAATATATATTTAATTGTGTATATATATATATATATAATTAGGAAGATGATCCAGAAATAATAAAGATGATACAAGAGATAGCGGAAATTGGTTTCGATAATGAAAGGGCAAGAATGGCTCTTGAAATGACCAATCGTAATTTGGTAATTTAATAATTTATTATTATCAAATGAATTCTTTCCATTTTGATATTATTTTTTCTCATTTAAATTATTTAAATTATTTTAATAGGAACAAGCAGTAAATCTACTTATAGAGAATCAAGGAAAAGTAGATGAACAAATTGCCAATGCACAAAATAATATGACACGTCGCCCGTCATTGGTGACAGGGCCTACCCTAAAAGATATTCCTTCCTCACCACATAGACGTACAAAATCACATAGTAGACCTTTAGTATTATCAGTACTTGCAAAACAAGAAAAGAAAAATGGATGGTCACCAATGTCATTTTTACAGCCAAAACATAACATGATGAATTCACAAAATAATTCATCTGTAAAAAAAATAAGTGGATGGATTGGAAAAGCAATAGGGAATCAAGGAAATGAAGAAGTAAATGGGTATATAATAATTTTTTTATTTATAATTTTTTATTTATAATTTTTTTTATTTATAAATTTATATAGTTTTATGTAATTTTATGTTTACATTTATATTTATATATTTTTAGCCATGGACATTTAGATGATTCTCAACTTGTAGAATCATTTACTATTTCATTGGGAAATCAAGTTAAATCAACGCATAATTTACGTTTATTAGCATCTGATATGGATGATTTACTAAAATCATCTAATGACCAAGCAAGAGATATGGCATATAGAGCACAAACAGCTGCAAATTTATATTCACAAAATTTGACAGCAATTGTTTTATTATTGACCCCAAAGGATTGGCCAAATTATAAGTTAGGAAAGAGTGCAAATAAAGGTATTATTATTATTTACTGGATTATTTATGATTCGGATGGTTTTAATTGTTGTCTTATTAATAAAAAATATAAAATATATTTTTGTTAAACATTATAGCATTCTTTGAATGTTGCAAAGAATCCACAGAATTTCATTTTAATAGTGTGGAATCTCAATTTGAAGCTATTGAAAAAGATTTTCAAACTGATGGTGTACAAGAAGGTATTATTCTTTTTAAATAAATAAATTGTTTTTTTCATTTGAATTTATCATTTAAATTTATTTGATAATTATTATTTTCTTTCAAATATTTAGGGGACTTTTTTATCACAAAACATTCAAATTTACCATTGGTTCATGTGGTATTTCATTTAGTAATAGATTTTGAATGTAAGTTTTCTTTATTATTTATTCTTAGATTATCAATTTTTTTTATCAATAAAAATTTTAAATAATTTTAATTAATAAATATTTTTAAATAAAAATGTTTATAAATGATTTTTAATTAGCCATCCAAAAATCAGAATTATTACAACGTTCAAAAGTAATTGCCGGATTACGTTCTATTTTACGTACAGTGAACCGCTTTGATGTTACAAGCATTTCACTTCCATTCCTTTTATTACCATCAAATGTGGATTGTTTTTCAGATCCAACAATTAATGAAAATCTTTTATATCGAAGAGGTGAATTGGTACTTAAATGTACTAAAGGATTTATGATTGAAAATTCAAGATTACCAAAGCGTATTGCTGAAAAAGAACAAGAAACAAAAACTGTATCATTTTTATTGCCAAAGAGTGCAACAGAACAACAATTCCAAGGCTTTAGATTATTGTTAACTGGAGAATTTAGAGCAAGCTAGAAGAGAACTATTTGTAATATTATGATTGTAATATTTTTTTTTTTTGTGAAAAAGTAATATTTTTTTTTTCTAATCATTTATTTGTAGAGTATTGACATTTTATTTATATATATTTTATGTGTATTTTTTTGCTTGAGAGAAAATATTTTCATCTCTATAAATTTTGTTTTTTTTATTTGTCTATATTTTAATTTACCGTGGTCATTTTTACATTTTTATAAATAGTTTTTTTTTTCTTCTAAACAAAATTATTGTATTTTTTGTTTTTTGTATTAAAATTATTGATTCATAAATATAAAATCCTACACAAAAATATTTATAAATGAAAATAAAATAAAAAATATTATTCAATTGTTTATACACCATGACTCACGCGATAATTAATTATTTAACGATTATTTTTTATTTTATTTTTATTTGTACATATTCGAAATAATACATTCAATAAAATCTAATTTACAGAACAGCTGGAATTTCACTTGGTGCATTAATTTTTTCATCCGGCTTCATTGCAGGAAATAGCAGAACCTAAAAGGATCAAATTTATATTAATATTTCATCATTTATAATACATTCATAATATATTGTAATATATTGTAATATATTCATATATATATATATAAACATTTACGAACCTCTTTAATGTTTGAACTATCTGTTAAAAACATGGTAAGACGGTCTATACCCATCCCCCATCCGGCACTAATTATTATTAATATTTGAAATGAAAATATTAAACATATTAATTGTTAGAAATAAGATTACTAAATAATGATAAAAAGATAAAGATAAACAAAAAAAAACTTACGTCGGTGGAAGTCCGTACTCTAAACTAGTACAAAAAGTTTCATCAATAAGTTGAGCCTCATCATCACCTTGTTCTTTTTGACGTGCCTGTTCTTCAAATCTATCACGCTGATCGAACGGATCATTCAATTCTGTATACGCATTGCAAACTTCCTTGGTTGCAACAAAAAGTTCAAAACGTTCACAAAGACCCTTGATATCTCGATGACTTTTGGCAAGAGGAGACATCATTTGAGGGTGACCAACAATAAAAGTCGGTGATACACAATCTACTTCAATGAAATCCCCTACAAGCTAAATTAAAGTAAAGTAATAATATAATATATTAGAAAATAATAAATATTTTCCACAAAATATTATAATAATAATAATAATAATAATTATAATTATAATAATGATGATAATAACATACTTTATCTAATAATCTAGCATTAGTTCTAGGCTGTGAACATTCTACTTCATGTTTAGTACAAAGATCTTGTAAAAATTTATTGGTTTCATCAGTATGTAATTCAGTAGCTGATGGAAACTTGGTTCCTAATTTTTCTTCTAATGCTTGAATCAAATTAATCCTCTTAAAAGGTGGTGTAAAATCAATGTTCAAAGCTGGTCCTTCCGGACCTTGTGGATGATAAATGATTTTATAACCTCCTGTAATATATTTAACCATACTCGAAATCATGCTTTCAGTAATATCCATTAAATCAAACATATCAGCGTATGCCATATAAAATTCACATGTCGTAAATTCCGGATTATGAGTAAGATCAATTGATTCATTACGAAATTGACGACCAATTTCATAAACTCGATCAAGACCACCAACTACAAGCATCTTAAGATATAATTCTGGTGCAACCCTCATGAAAAGATCTAACTTAAGATCATTATGATGAGTTATAAATGGTTTTGCTGTTGCTCCACCTGCAATCATGTTCATCATGGGAGTTTCAACCTAAAATTAATTTTAATAATTAATTTAATTTTAATTTAATAATTAATTAATTTAATAGTGGTTAATTAATTTAATAGCGGTAAATTAATTTTTAAATGTTTAAAATTTTTTTTTAAAAAAAGTTAATTGTTATTAATATTATTTTATTTTATTTTATTTTTACCTCAAGGAAACCAAGATTATCCAGAAAACGTCTAACATAATTTACAATCTTGGCTCTTATGGTAAACTTTTCTCGAACAAAATTGTTCATAATCAAATCAAGATAACGTTGACGATAACGAGATTCTTGATCCTTAAATCCATAATGTGCTTTAGGCAACATATGAAGGCAAGGAGAAAGTAGTTTAATTTCCTTGGGGAAAATAGATAATTCACCTTTCTTGGATTTTCCGGGACATCCACGTACTCCCACAATGTCTCCACGACGAAGTACGCGATGTAAATCTTCAAAATTTTGTTCAGAATCCCTATTTTAAATATATATATATAAATATGTGTATTATATATATATATATATATAAAAATGTAAATATTGAACCATAAAATAAAAGTTTATAAAAACTTACTGAGCTTGGGCCATCACTTGAATTTTAACTCCTTCACCGTGCAAATCATAAAATCTTAGTTTTGCACTAAGAGCTCTCATATTATGAATACGACCAGCAACTGTAATTATTTCATCTAAATGTTGCCCAGATTCGAGACTATTGTATTTCTCAATAAATGCCGGAATAGAAATATCCACTAAAAATTTATGTGGATAAGGGTTTGGATTTTGGGTTTCTCTAAGTTTCAAAATTTGCTTAGAACGAATTTCGAAATATTGCTAGAAAAAAAAAATATTTATATATATTTAAATTTTTTTTTTTTTTTAGTTAATTAAATTGAAAAAATAATTATTTTAATCGATGCATATATATGAATAATTGACTTCACATTGGGATTTAGATTTTCCTCAGATTCTTCAACATTTTCAATTTTCTTTTCAGCGGCGACAACTATAGGTGAAGAAGTAGTAGCAGCCTTGGAAGCCTAGCAATTGAAAATAAACAGTTTACAAATAGATAGACTTTTTTAAAACAAAAAAAATCTGTGCTCGGCATAAGACATTTACTTTCTTGGCATCCTTTTCACGTTGTTTATTACGTCGCTTCAATTCACTTGAAAATCAAAAAAACGTGTACAAAATTATTTATTTTATAATTTATTTATTTTGGATAATTGATGAAAATTTAAATTTTTCGGGTCCAATTTTCCAATTAAAAAACAATTTGCATACTTCTTGGATACTTTCTCTCCCGTAACTTCGTCCAAGAGAAGTTTTTCTTCGTTAGTGCTCATTTTTTTAAATACAGAAGGAGATAATCTTTAATTATTTATATTTTATCTGATGTGGTACATATCAGTTATTCAAGATGAGTCATTTATGGCGCAGAAGAGTACTTGAGACCAAAGAGAAAATAATAATATTAACATTAAGCAATCAGAAATAGCAAAGGTTGAATAAAATTTCAATGATTATTTTCAATTTAATAAATTAATTTATTAAGGAAAAAATTTTAGCCCAAAAAAAAAAAAAAATTAAAAAAAAATTGAATGGAAATTTAAATTTGAATTCATATAAAAAAAAAAAAACTTGTAATTGAGTAATTGAGTACTATTTTCTTTATTGTAAAAATTTCTAAGAAATTTTTAAGGTAAATTTAAAGAAACAGAGTAGTCAAGACTTTACTTTAGCTACTTGGAAAAAAATAAATTTTAAATAGTTTTTCAGATCTATATTTTAAAATATATTAAATTATTCCAAAACGTGACACCCATAAAAGGAAGAAACAAAGATTGTTTCCGTTACAAATCCACCGCAGTTTAATTAATTTTTATTCGATTATTCAATTACTAGTGGCGTAAAAACATCATTAGGTACAAGTTTCGTTCTATGAACATATAATATAATAATAATACAATTATCCATTCGTAATTAACCCTATTTATGTTTATTTATATTTACTTATGTTTATTTATGTTTGTAAGAAATGAAAATCTGCATTAAATCCGTGCGCGAAACATTTAAAATTTATAATGATGATATCAGTGAAATGCCTTGAATTAAGTTTCAAATTTTATTTTTTTTTATTGATATCATTGTGCTACTTTTAAAGAATGAAAAGAATCAGATCCATTTTTTCACAATACTTAAATATTCCGCAAAATGCGTTCCAAAAAAATTTTTAGGAATTAATTCAAAGCCCAAACAAAAAAGGTAATTAAAGAAGGTTTGTAACATAGAGATTATGACTTTTTTTTTCTTTTAAGTGTCAAACATAAAACACTAGTTAATAGCGTCATATATATTTAATAACAAAATAACTTGTTTTGGAAGGAATAATTGTGTTGTTGCTAATCCTGGCTGGATCAATTAATTAAAGTTTTGTTTGTTGCGCTAAAAAAAGAAGTCAAAAATCATAGATTACATGATCCTAAATGAGAAAGTTTACTATAAAAAAATTTCTGAAACATTACGTTCACGAGTGTAAAAGTATTCTTCGTTTAACTTCTCCTTCGTTAGAGATTTTTTGACGTTTGAAACATGATTCCCAGGTCCATGGCTTTTGTATCACCGAGGATCGACTAACCCTAAATTCTTTAAAAAATTAAATGAATTGTTTTTTTTTGAATCTGGGACACAACAATATGTAACACCCACCATTCACATCCCCTTACCCCTAACATTGCAATTGATATTGTTCACAAAAAACGCGTTATTAGCCACATACAACTTAACGAGAATAAAAGAACGGTGCTTTCGATATTCCTTTAATTAATGTCCTATTATTTGATAGATTGGACAAAAAAAAAATTAAGATAATTTGTTAACATTAGAATTATCAATCATTATCAAAATGAGCACAAGACAAAGAAAAAATTTACCAAACATCAACCAAAGAATCCGCAAGTTTCGGGTTAAGAGTAGTCACATTGGACGCAAATTAATCGATGGAAACCCCATAACATCCTATCTTATTGAAAAACTTCATTTAATAGGGTATCAATATTATAATGACAAATCGACCTCATTTGCAGAACTTCGCGTGGAAGGAATTACTAGAACATTTTGGATACATAAGGAATTCCTCGTACTTCAATCAAATTTCTTTCACGAGATTTTCAATGATAAAAATATTGGTACGGTTATCGATATCACTGTGCCTTCACCCGGGACTTTTGAATCAATTCTGGAATATTTATATGACGGAAATGAAGAAAAGTGGTATGATACTTTTACAACGGAAAATTGGCATAGTGTTTGGGAAAACATAAGTTATTTAGAATTGGGCTCAAAAGCTCGGGCCATTTGCATTTCTTTTTGCGAAAACCAGATTAATTAAAAAATTCTACGGGACAATGTGACAATTATGAATTTTTTTTAAAAAAAAAAAAATTAAAGAAAAAGAAAACAAAAACGATAAAAAAAAAAAGAAAAGAAAAAAAAATAACAAATTACGTCAATTTTTATATTAAAGAAATTTTTTAAAATTTACCATAAGATTTTACAACACACAAACAAAGCCTTTTTTTTTTCGTAAAAAAAAAAAAAAAATTTCCATCTAAGATTTCGTATTGTAATTATTTTTCTCCTCCACACTTCCAAAAAAAAAAAAAATATTTTGTAAATTAACGTAATTACGTTTAAGAGTCGTTAAATAAAAAAAAACCCCATTCGCTATGACTTTATTTACTTTATTTCACATTTTTTGAAATGTTGTTACTTGGTCTTTTTTTCAATGTTATTTGTCAATGGAAAAGAATGTTACTTAATTTACATTTACATATATAATTTGTATATTTATAATTCACGTTATAGACAAAAATACATGTCATGTGCCGTAATTAAAGTCGACATCTGTTAATCTCGAATATTAACAGCCAAATTATTATGTTCATACGATATAAACGTGGCATAGTAAACAAAAACAACAAATTAAAACACGTTACATCACGTTACATCACGTTACATCACGTTACAAAAAAAAAAAAATACATGAATTATTTTTATTTTTTTCCATTCTTTATTTTGTCATTCAATTTTTTTTTGCCAAACTTAGATTTACAAATGGTGGTGTTAATATAATTTTTTTTTTCCTACATACTATATATCCCTAATTTGTTTACCAAAAAAATTTATTTATTTATTTTTTTGTCACGTCTTAGAGGTAATTTTTTTCATAATAATGTGTATTCTATTTTTTTATTTTTTCTTTTGTGGGAGGGGGGATATTAAATTGAGGAATAATATGGTGTGTTATGTATAAATGCAATTATATGGTTATGATGTGTGGTGTGTGTGTGAAGAAAAAAAATAATTTACAAAGAAAATATATATTTTTTTGTTTTTTCTCGAATGTTGATATATATATTTTTATTTTAATTTTAGGGAATTTTTAGTGTGGGAGGGGAGAATAACTAGTTATTATCAATTTGGAATTAAAAATCTTAATGAAGAAGAAAAAAAGATGGAAGAGATGATGATGAGAAAATAAAACGAGAGAGAATAATGAAAGAGAATAATAATGAAAGAGAATAATAATGAAAGAGAATAATTGAAAGAGAATAATGAAAGAATAAATTGATATGATACATTTGGAGAGAAGAGAAAAAGGGAAGAGATTTGCAGATTCTATTATTTTTTATACAAGATTATAACGATTGTTCATTTTATATATATAAAGAGACTAAACTAAGTTTTATTATTATAAAAAAAAAAATTCCATTCCGAATTAAAGAATTCTTATTAAAGAATAAAAGATTCTTTATGATATACATGAAATACTGTAATCGATTAATTACTAAAATATAACTTTTTTTTTGTCGCAATTATTGGATTGATATTTATTGATATGATGATATTATTTATTAATTATGTATTAATATCTTTATTTTTCTTCATTTTTCATCATCATCGTCTCCTTCTGCTTCAACATCATCATCATCTCCTTCATCATCTTCATAATCTTCATCTTCATCTTCATTATCTTTATTATTATAATTACTATTCTCTTGAATTTCGTGTTGATAAAAAGCGAGACAAACGGCTTGAGCAGCTGGACCCAAACCAAGATACTCTAAATTTTGCCAAACATCATAATAATTATCTACAGTTAAAGTATCGTACCATTTATCCGCATCCCCACTATATAAAAATTCCAATAATGGTTCAAAAGTATCAGGTGATGGAACAGTTATGGTGATGATATCACCATTAGAAACATTTTCGAATACTTCACGAAAGAATAAAGATTGAAGAACTAAATATTCTTCATGTACCCAAAATGGTTTATCAATTCCTTCTACATGAAGTTCTGCGAACGCGGTAGATTTATCACCAAAATAACGTGTTCCTAATTGATGTAATTTTTCCAAAATATAAGTGACAGGAATCCCGTCGATCATAGCTTGATGATTTAAATTTTCGTATTTACTGTTGGTGGTCTTGTTATATGAATTATTATGATGATGACGATGAGAAGAATGATGATAATGATGATTCACACGTTGTTGTTTGAGAGGAGGAGGAGGAACAGCAGAGAGCATTTTATTATTATTGATTGATGAAAAGTTTTTGGACGGAATTTTGAAAAATTGTTGGAAAAAAAAAAAAAAGTAGGGAACTTTTATTTGTTTATATATATATATCAATTTTTTGATGAAGCTAAAAATAGTTAGAATAGTTTGTTAAATTTTTTTCTCTTGGTTGAAGAAAGTTTATTTTTTGAAAATCAACTAACTATTTTAAAATGTTCAATAATGTTCAAATAATGTTCAATAATGTCAAAACCTCAATACTGTTGTAAAAGATGATGTGGAGATGTTTAGGAAGAAGTAGAAGACAGAAGAAAGAAACAAGGACTCTTTTATGCGAATTTTTCTCCCGCCAAAATTATTACGAAATTATTAAAATTATTCTTGAACACTGTAAGTAAACAATTGAATTATCTAACATTGCTTATAATATTGTATACATTAACAATATTATACAATATTAATACATTACAATATACATTATTACAATATACATTACAACATACATCATTTAACAATATACAACATTTTACAACATACATTAATATACATTACAATATATAGATAGATTTTACATTCACTAAACTATTAGTGGATTATAATAATAAAATAGTTTATAATGGTTTATAATGGTTTATAATAGTTTATAAATATTTTTATAATAGTTAAAATAAATATTAAAAGAACCGATTAATAAAGAATAGCCGACAATAATCAACAATAAATAAATATATAATAGATTTCGGATAAAAGATTTTATATAATTGATGATGATTACATTTTTAACTGATAAATAAATAAATAATACAAAAATACAAATAATGAAATCATAATAAAATCGCGTGCCAAAAAGATAGGCAAGTTTAAATTAAAAAAAATTGTATTGTTCTAATCATGCGTATGTGGTAAGACCAGTAAAACTATTAAGATTAGTTTTTTTTTAAAAAAAATGTATATGTGTGATATATATATAGATAATGGAATGTGTGTGTGAGTGTGCGCAAGTGAGTGAATGAGTTATGAATAAGAGGATAGAAGAGAATAAATCAAAAATAAAAATGAGCGACATAAAAAAAAAATAATAATAATAAGAGATACAAAAAAAAAAAAATATGTAATGCAAAGTGAATAAAATTGAATAAAAAATTACAAAAAAAGACAAAAGATTATGGAAATGGAAAATACAATAGAATTAATAAAAACAATAGTGATACGTCGTTTATTATTTATAGTCTAAGACAATCACAAAATTTGAATCGTAACAATGTATCTATTTCAGGGTAAGATGAGTTCTGTTGTTGTTGTTTACGCTTGTCTTGTCGTTATTATATGCTTGTTATTATATGCTCGTTATTATATGCTTGTTATTATACTTGCTTATGATATTGAATATAGAAGAAGAGAAAAAGATAAAAAGAATAAGAATAATAATTTTAGAATAAATGGAATAAAATAGAAGAATCTTGTGGAATAATAGAAGAATAATTAAAATGAATAAATGAGAAGTAAAAAGAAATTAAAATTGTGAAATAATAATAATAATAATAATAATGATAATAGAGGAGGAGAAAAGTAGAGGAATAATAGAGGAATAATAAATGAATAATAGAAGGATAGTGTGGAATAGTGTAGAATATTTTTACCCATTGTTTTATTTTCTTCTTCTTACAACCCAAATTTATTCATTTGTTATTATTTTTGATCTATTCTTGGCTTCATTCATTAATTTTTTAATTTTAATTTAATTTAATTATTAATTTAATAATTCATTAATTTTACAGTTTAATTAAATTTAGTTATTATCATTATCTCATTATCTTATTATAGTTTATTATAATTTATTATGGTTTATTTTCTTTATGTATTTTTTTTTTCTATTGGATAATAATGCATTGTAATGATCAAAATATTATCATCATAGTAGATTTAATATAACAAATCTACGTTTTCTTACATCTTAAAATCTTTAATAATAAATAAACTGAAATAAATATACGTAAAAATCAAAATTATAATAAATTAGTAATAAATAAATAAATAAGTAAATAAGTAAATAAGTAAACAAATAAAAATGTATAATAAATGTGGAACACCAAACCAAGGATATCGTGGATTGTTATTGTTATTGTCATGATTTTTTTTTGGGGGGGGAAGAGAAGATATACTCGTGTAATAAGTGTAATAAATTTAATAAGTGCAATAAGTGAAATAAATCATTATTGCAATGAATCGTTATTGCTATTCTTCGTGAATTATTATTATTATTCTTCGTGAAAAATAATTATCCTTTTGCTGCTGTATTATCATCTATGACAAATGATAAAACGAAAATAAAATGTAATATGTAATAGAATGTAATAGAATGTAATAGAATGTAATAAATGTGAAGCAATAACAACAATCAAAGTATTTTTAGAATTAATTAAAATTCGCTTTTTCACTGCATGATGATCAAAAAGAAATAACTTTAATTTTAAATACAAATATATATATAATGAACAGTATAGAGAACAGAATATAATAATATTAGCAGAACAAATATATAATAAAATAATAATTTATATATTATTTAATTTATTTAATAATATATTTTTTTATTATTTTATTATTATTTTTTATTTTTCATAAGTTTATAAGTTTTTACAGTAGTTGATTCATCTTTCAATTGTATCATATAAATATTCTTTAATCCCGAATTAAAATTATTCAAAGTCATAGCGATATTTGTTTTATTTAATCTTTCCACACCATCAGATGATACAATGGAATCTATCAATTTTATTTGTTTTTCATTACCAATATTTATTCGAATTTCATGAAATGGTAATTCCATTATTAATTTCATAATTCCCCAACCAAGATTTGTCCATTTTCCATGATCTTTTTGTGAAAAAATTTTTACTTTACATTCAAGTAATAATTTAAAAGTTTGTTCTGATTCTTTAACAATAATTATTCCATTATTTTTTAATGGTAATGTTCTTGGTATAACATTATTATTATTATTATTATTATTATTATTATTATTATTATTATTATTATTAACATTATTTTTAGAACTTTTGGATATTTTTTGATTAATCTTTTGTTGTTTTAATGTAGGTAATGAAAATGTTCTTGAAATTAATCCTTGATCATTCTTTTGTAATGAGGATGATCTTGAAATTAAAAATTCTTGAGTTGGAGTATTTGATCTCTTTTGTATCAATAATTTTCGAGCATCAATTAAATGTTGAAATAGTTGATCGGAATCATAAGAACATGGACAATTAATTCTATAATATTCTTTATTTTGATCCATTTTACAAGAAATACTAATTTGAGTTGAAGAATCTCGATGTATTGTTGTATATAAATAAATCCAAGAATTAAGTACCATCCTATTACTCTTTTGTAATATAATAGACCAACAACCTACCATCGTTGTAGTAATTCTAACTTCAACTGTACAATTTTCTGCAAATGATTTCCAACTTTCATTAATCCAATAATCCACTGAACAAGATTGTGTTTGATAAACAGTTTCTTTAAATGTTGAACTTTTCATTGAAGTTAATGAAGTCATTGAACTTGAACGTGGAAATCCCCATCTAGATTTTTTAAATGATGATATTGATGACGATGATGATGATGATGTTGTTGATGATGATATTGATGTTGATAATGATAATATTGATGATGTTGGTGATTTAGGATTAATACGAATATCTCCGGGATATTCTTTACCTCCCGAATAACGAAGAGGTTCAGGTGTACGGGAACGTAAATTATGTATATTATTTAAAGTATTTCCTCCAAGATAAGGACTTGATGGAAGTCCAATTCTTGGAATTAAAATATTATTTGATGATGATGATGTTGATGTTGATGATAATGATGATAATGATGTTGATGATTCACGTTCTGAACTATTGTAATAATTAGAATCATTAGAACTGTTAGAACTATTGAAACTATTGGATGATGTTCTTAATTCATTCTGTGTTGATGATGGTATTGATGTTAATTTTGATGTTGATGAAGGAATAGGTTGAGAAGGATGTTGAGAGGTAGTAATAATTGGATTGTTCACTTAGAGATTTTTTTTAAAAAAAAAGAATTGTTATAAGTATTTTATTTATTTATTATATTATAAAAATTCATGAAAGAATTATTTAAAATAATATACCATTTTTGACAAACTTTATAGTATTGGATAATTCATTCAACCAAATATTTTTGACATTAACTGAATTAGGAAATAATATTAAAGATTCTTTCTTTAAAAAATCCAATTTTATCATTCCTATTGAAAAAAAACCCATATAAAAATAATTAAAATTAAATAATAATAATAATAATAATTATAATTATAATTATAATTTACCTCTTTCTCCATTACTAATATCGGTGACTTCCAAATGTTTCCCACTTAATGGTGTATATAATAAACTGAATTTAAAATTGGAATTTTGATTTTGCTCACAAACCAATAAAAGATCCGTTAATAAAAATAGATACACCCGAAGATAATTTTTATTACCATTATTTGTGAGGGATGCTTTAATAATAAAATCAGAATGAAGTTTTATTTTTCGAATAAATGGTAAATTTGGTGGCAATAAAGAAATTTTTAATTTCTTTAAAATAAAAAATAAAATAATAATGAAATTAATAAAATAAATAAATAATTATATAAACGAAATAATTTAAAAAAAAAATACCATTATTTCCATCGAAAGAATATCTTTAACATGTGAACTATCAATACTTTTTTCCAATTCTGATAAAGTCCAATTATGATTACGAGAATTATAATTAATAATAATATTATTGTTATTGTTATTATTGTTGTTATTATTATTATTATTATTATTATTATTATTATTATTATTATTGTTGTTATTATTCTTTTTGTAATCATGATGATGTGTTGTGATTTGTTTAGATGACGTAATAGTCTTCGCCATGGGCATTTCTAATTTTTCTTTTGGTCTTAATCCTTTTACTTTCATTTCCAAATCAATTAACGCGTCAAGACAATAATTTAAATTTTTCAAAAGATCGTGATCTGAACGTCCAGGTTCGGTAATTTTAAGCATTCTCTATAATGATTAATGATATGATATAATACAATATAATATAATATCGATTATATTAAAATTAATGATGTAATACAATACGGTATAAGATTAATTAATGATGTAATATCAATTATGATGTAAAGTTTATGATGTAATCTCAAAGATGTAGGACTAATGATAACGATTGATGATGTATAATTGATGATGTATGATTATTGATGATGTATGATTGATGATGTAAGATTAATGATGTAATATTAATAAATACCATATATAATTTTTTATAATAATGAATTCTTTTCATGGGCAAATCAAAAAAGAAGTCCAATGATACAGGAATATTTATTTCCGCAGAAATATCCTATTGAACGTAAGTAATAATAATTGTTATTAATTAATTAATAAAAAATAATAATAATTAATAATATCAATAATTAATAATAATTACATTGAGGGTTTGTTGAAGTAAACCATTTTCTTCAATCTCGGATAATTTATCAAAACCGTGTTGAAAGTTTAAACAATAATTCGTGTATGGTTCATCCAATTCATTTACCTAAATAATTCAATAAATGTCATAACGAATTAAATTATTATCATTATTATTAAAGTAATATGAAAGTAGCAGTGAAAGTAGTAGTGAAAGTAAAGATTCAAAATACCCAATTCATTAATATACAACCAAGATTTCCGTTGCAACCTCTTACATTTGATAATTTCTATATATAAAAAATTTTAATTAATAAATAAATAAATAAATGGGAATGAATGGGAGTGAACGGGAACGAATGAAATGGAATAGAAATAAATAAATACAAAATAAAAATTTTGATTTTTTTCATAAATCATTCCTAATGATCGAAACATTGTATCCAATTCGGGTGGAGGTAATTTCCAACATGATGGAATTCGCTAAATAAATAAAACGTACATAAATAGAACATAAATAAACATAAATAAACATAAAACATATCGAAAATTAAAAAAAAAAAAATAATTAAAAAATTACCTGCAGTAAAAAGTTTAAATAGTTCACATATTCTTTTTCAGTTTCGATAAGATCATTCAAAGGATTGGTTCTTGGCTTTTCTTCGTATATACGATGATGTACTGTTTGATAATGATTGATATCTCGTGTACTCATATTACTTATATTATTATTTTTAATTTTTTATTTATTATTTCAAGACTTATTGTTGTTATTCATAAAAAAAAATTAACGAGAGAAAGTTAATTCAATTAGATTCTTGCATTAAAGAATACAGATTTTGAAACAATTTTTATTATGTTTATTATATATATATATATATTTTTAGGTATTATTATGTAAAGAATTAAAAAAATATGATTGAAAAAAAATGATTGAAAAATAATAATAATAATAATAATGATGTTAAAATAATAATTATTTCAGTTCAAGTCGCAGACTTGTCGCTGAAGAGTGAAAGGGAGTGAAAAGGAGTAAAGGATATTTTTATTTAAATTTGAATCAAAATTTTACAATAAAAATAAATAAAATAAAATCAATAATCATTATACATAAAAATTCATATTAAAAATTTATATTAAAATTAATAATAAATAATATGATCGGATATAAGAAAAGAAAAAGAGGCTAATTAAAGAATTTTAAAGTTGGATATTTGTTTTTAACGAGAAGATGCATCTCGTCACAACATCATAACATCCAATTTTTTCATTTGATCGCAAATTTTTTAGTCTGTAACAAATAATAAATTTTTGTAACAAGTCAAATATTAATTTTCGTTCATACTTTTTTTTTTCTTTGTTTAAAATATTTTCCAATTACTCTTCTATGCAAATTTATTTTTAGGTTTCCCGAATTATTTAAACTATATTTACTGACGGTTAAGCAACATATCTATTTACATCATGCGCAATATAAACTAACGGTTATCTGTTTTCTCCGTTTTCTCCGTTTAGAAATATCCGATTTGAAGACAATACATAATTTACTTATTATCCTAGTAAAGATAGTAAAGATGAAAAAGTTTCATATTAGTTTCGGGGTATATATTCATTTTGCTTTAACGCTCTCTCTCTCCCCCTCTCTTTATTTTTTCTTTGAGAGATCACAATCTGATTTAGGAAAATCAAAAGATGCACGTATGAAACTTTTAGAAAGAAGATCATGGTTTAAAATATTATTTACTAATTAAAAACCTTAATAAATATCGATTCCTAAAGTAGAATATCTACGAGATGCATATATTAAATATTTATCAAATAAGTCACAACATAAAATTTTTTTTTTGTATTAGTATTTTTGAATGTAATTAATGAACTTTCTTTTTTCATTTTTTTTTTGTGGTTCATTATTTCTCTGATTTCTTATTTCTCTCATTCATTATTATTTTTCATATGGTTAAGGGGAAAAAAATTAAACCCGATTTTTTCGTAATAATACTTAACTCTTTTCATCATAATAATGGTATTATTAATGTTTTTATCTGTTATTACTCAAAATCATCATTTATTATAATATGATGTGCTAAGATTTGATACTAATTGCTAAAAATAGAAATAAAGGTTCTCGAATCTCTTTGGTTCTTCTTTTTTAATTTGCGAGGAGCAAATGCAAAAAAGAATACTGTATATTGTGGCATAGTATCCTCTTTCAAGTTTTTTTTAAATATACTAATGTATTTTATATGGTGACAAATGATTTTAATGTAAGATCTTATAAATTTCTGCACCCCGATTATAAGACGAAAACTCCAAAATTTTTTAGGTAATTTAGCTGCTCAAAATATAATTTAGATTAGGTTTTTTTTTTTCTTTTTTCATTCCAAAATAATAAACAAAGGTCAACGTTCCATATATGTCTATCTACAAATAAATTAGTTAAGTATATAGATTATATGTTTTTTAATTGAAATAAAATTAAAACTGCGACTACTAAAATTCGTTGATCTATCAAACTGTAAAATTTCAATATAGCACAACATCCCTTACATTTTTCTTTTAAAAATTCAACATACCAATTAAGATAAAATATTTTTAATTTCAAGCAAATTTGAAACAATATAATATTTATCTAAGTAATAAATTCTTCAGAAAGGTTCAATATAATTTTGTGAATTTTACTAAATTATAGGTTGATCTATTAAAATTCAATTTTGAATTTAAAAGTTTTAATAGTGGCACTCAACCTAAGGGTACGATTGGTTCAAAAGGAAAGAAACTCGAAGGATTAACATTACGTGGTGGAGTAATTTGATGACAAAAATTAAATAAATGATTCAATACAATATTTTAGATTTAGGTTTTTTGGGTTTAAAATCTGAAGAAAAAAATGCAAGAATATAATCCCTGATTGAAAGCATATAATGTAACTCATGATAAATGAATTACTCCATCGGATGGATGTAAAGCAACTAAAGGATGGTGGTCTACACTTTTATAAATTACCGGGAATTCCTTATTTCTCGGGAAAATATTACCGAAGTTTAATTTATTTACCCTAATTGCATTATGATTAGATACAATCAATAAAGTTAATATTAAGATGTGCAGTTGTTTTCTTTCATAATTTTCTCCCAGAAAGCTAAAACAATATGTGATTCCTTTTCAAACCTTTGAATAAAAATGGTCATATATTATTTATAAGCGAAATATGCAAAATTCAATTCGTAATAAATCATATACTGTAGTTTTAATACACGACCTTAACAAAATTTCTTTGAAAACTAAAAATTCTGAATAGTCTGAAGGTGGTTCAATAAAGTATGAACCAAGAAGGACGCTAAATATTTCCACTGGTTTAGTTATTATCATAATTACGGATCCATTAATCAGAATTTTAATTTTAGTCTTATTCCAAATAATTAGTAATGAAATTATCACAAGTGGAAAATACATAAAGTGAAAATAATAAACAATCAGCAATTAGGAAATTTCCTTTCAGATATTTCCTGTTCTTTGATCATCTTTAATAATAAAATTTGCAATGGAATATGCAACACTACAAATTGTAATCTATAAATAAAAATTAATTAAAAATCAAATTTATATTAAAAAAAGGGAAATACAACAATAATTGTTTTTAATCACATTACCATAGGGTTTACACCCACTGAAGAAGGAAGCACACTTGCATCAGCCACATAAAGATTATCAATTTCCCAAGTTTTGCCCCTTGGATTTACAACTGAAGTTGAAGAATCACTTCCCATTCGACTGTTTAATATAATTAAATTAAATAATAAAATTAAAAATTTATATTAAATAATAAGAAATAAAATTAAATAATAAATTTATAAATTACCAGGTTCCCATTTGATGTCCACTTCCGAAATTACAATTCTTTGTTCCAATTTTTCTGATATTTTCAATAAATGATTTCAACTTTGGATCTTGTAAAGGATCATCTTCTGTAGGTATAAACTCATCAAGTTCTGTAAAGCCTACATCAATAGATTTTGCTCCTGCTGCAACTAAAATATTAACTCCGGCAATGACTCCTTCTGTAATATTTCTTGAATCATAATCACTAATGGTATAATGTATTCTTGGTTTTCCATCGTCATCAATATCAACACTTCCTGAATATCTATCACGTCCTACAATGACCAAAGGAATATGATTATTAAGTTGAAGCATTCTTTGTTTATGATTTAACCCGGACCTCCAGGGGATAAATGTTGCCCCATATGAAGGGTGAAGAGGCGCAAGTTCAATTTTTGCTCCATAATGATCGAGATGAATATCAGAATATGAAGAAACAATGGTTCCATAATAAGACTTGATTTCTTTATCAGGAAAAGTGCCAGAAATACACATTCCTGGATGCAAAAATAAATTCTTTCCAACATTTTTGTTTTGAAGTCCACTTCTTTTTAGTAATGCTGGACTATGAAGTGATCCACAAGAAACAATTACTTTCTTTGAATATACTATTAATTTTCGTTTATCACTACCAACTATCGCTTCAATCCCTACTGCTTTTTTATTTTTGATCAAAACTTTTTTGACATAACAATCTTGCACAAATTTTGTTCCAGAATCTCTCGCATCTTTTAACCATGTCATCAAACTTCCTTGTTTTTCTCCATAACGACAACCATACAAACACCATCCACACTGGTGTTCCGCACCTGCCGTATTTTGTGGAGCAACTGCATAATGATAGTTAAGTCGTTTACAACTTTCAATAAGTACTTTGTTTTTTTCATCATGAACAATCGCTTTTGTGGATACGCCCATTCTTTCTGTGACAGCGTCCATTGAATTATCAAATTCTTTAGTAGTAAAATAATCTAATCCTTCTGAAGCCCATTCTTCTCTCACAACATTTGGTATCTGAAATAATATAAATATTACATAAATATAATATAAATTTATAATTATTCCATAAATATTATATAAATTTATAATATATAAAAATTATTATTATTAGCAACTTCTTTCAAATCTTTTTACCTTAAGTGATACCGCCCCATTAATTGTGGTACCACCACCAAAGGTTGATCCAGCTAGAATCCCTATCGAATTACCTTCACTTGAAAGCATCCCTCCACGTTCATAGAGCTTAGTACTGGATTCTAATTGAGTCAAAGTAAGTTCACTCTGATGATAATATTTTCCTTTCTCGATCACTAAAACTTTATATCCAGCTTTTGCCAATTGAGC